ATATAGAGCAGCCGATGTCCACTAGGTTGTCTGTTGTAGTCTGGAAATATATTTTAGTTTAATAATCCCAATAAATTCTAAATCTCATCTAAATTCTGTATTTCTTAGGGCTTCTTTTTGAAAGCAGGTAATTAGGGACTAATAATAAAATGTTATGCGGGCAAATTGCCTTCGGTGAATGATGGGAAAATGTTCTTGGCTGACAGACTAATACCAAAGATTTTTAGGTGAGGTCTTTGGATAAGACAGTAACTTGAATAGTTTTCTGTCGTCATTCTTAGGCATCTGACTGCACTGTGTAGCAATCTTTCAGACTTGTGTTCTAAGGACTTCTAAGAAGAAAGGTAACCAACTGTGAGCTGGTAACAACTAACAATAAAGAAAACATTATGGAAAAACTATCACACTGATTTAAAGAAATGGGACAGAGCTAATTAAGAAGTAGGAACAAGGGTATGTACAGCAAAACCTGCACTCCCAGTTAAATCTAGAGAGCAAGCCCGAACTCTGTGTGCCTGTAGAAAACAGTTTGTAATCTTTCCAAAATGAATATGTTCCTCCCAGCAGGGAGAACAAACAGCGATAATTCCACAGGTAGATTGTCTGTAAGTGAAAACTCTCATTTATTGTACATTGCCATGGAGAACTGGAAGGATCTGTTGCAGAAACTTAATTCAGACAGAGCATATTTTTGTTCTCTGTTCTTTCTCTTGAAGATTGGCTTCTCTTCAAAGACACTGGGACAAGAACAAAACCTGATTTATTAAGTAAAAGAAATCTCTATCATTAATATTTACTGTACTCCTGCCAGATCCGTCTCAAGGAATACTGTTGACAGGAGATAGTTGTTGCTTTATCAGACTATGCTGACATAAAACTGCACAACACAAACTCAAGCTTTCTACTTTTTTGGATAGCAAAAGCTTAAGTGCCTGTATCTTAATTTACAGCATTAAATAGCTAAGAAAGCCACACAGTGCAGATTAAATACACAAGTAATATTTGAATGAGAACAACTGAATCAAATGCACAAAACATGGGAATGATAATAGTTAATCCAGAGAGCACCTTTTATAAACAGATCTAGATTTTATCAGGAGCTGCTTTTGTGCTCTTGTGTGCAGCGCATATAAATGAATGCCAGGGGTAAGGATGCTTGGCTCCCCTTTCGAGCCCCTTGAAGACTGCAGGCTGTGCTCTCCACCTTGTTTCATTCAGTGACATGATCATCTGCTTCTGGCTCAGTGCCCCCCATCCAGTGCCTTCCTCTGCCTTCCCTGCAGGGACTCTTCAGAAAACAACATCACGTGCCCCTGTGCTGCTTTGTGCAGTCCACAAACAACTGCAAAAACACTTCTCTCCCTTCGACAGTTTTTTTAGACTGTCTTATTGCAGAAGCTGCAAAAGAAAAGGTAACCGGCAGGTGATGGATTGGATGAAGCTATTGTCAGTGTGCTGTTCAGGGTTAGCTCACACCCCATCTCTGTCTATCATGCCTGAAAAGCACATTGTCAGCTATTGGAGGCCAAAATGGTGAGCAGAGATGCCAGGCTCTGTAGTAATGCAAGTAAATGACCAAAACTAGAGAGCCACATACAGGCAAGCCCCAGGGGCTGAGCAGCAACTACAGAAAGGCAGGGATAGAGGCAGTTAAAGCTTCTGTCGAAGAAGCAAAGAGATGTAAGGGCCCTGGCCAGGCTCTGCCCTTTCTCATACACTGGTAAGAGAAAACCAGGGCTGAGACTTTGTATGTTTTCTCCTTTTGTGGCTTGTCTTGTCACAGCCAGGCCTTTAAGTGGTTTTTGGTCAACTGCAACAGCTTGCACATGTGTTAGATGTAGATCAAGGCTATGCTGTTAGCTGTAGAAAAGTGCAGTCTGCCTTTTTTTTTATTGTATAAAATGGTTGTGGAGTTCTCTGTACATTAAAGTTGGAAGCGCACAGGGGCTGATGAGCTATTTGTGTTGCATTTAACCCTTTTGCCTGGTGAGAAGCAGACTGTGACTTTCCAAGCAGCAACACAATGTCTCCTACCTTGTTCTTTGCATAGGGACATTTTTCCTTCCCCTCCCTTGCATTCATTTTCCCAGAAACAGAAATGTTGTTCTTGGGGGTCTCTGGAAACTGCTTCTTTTGGATTGCCGGTTTCTGCTTTAGCCCATGGTTCGCTCTGTTGGTGGGTGGTAAAGCATCTTCTATGTTGTTTAAGCTGCAGGAGCCATTGAAATGAGCTCTATAGCCTGTGAGCACCTCTTTAGCAGTTACTGGGAAGCATAAGGCAAAGTTCCTCTTGATGGTTTTACTTGAGCGCCCCTTTTTGGGCAGGTAGGGAGAGGCAGGAAAGGATCTGCGCAGCTCAGCTGTTGCTACTGGTACTGGAGCTGTGAGCTGAAAACTTGGTGAGGAACCTGTGCCTCTCCACTTGCTGTTGGTTAGCATGAAATCCACGGAGTGCTGTTACCATGGTGGGCACGCTGATCTGGCTTATTTGAGTCATCTTTATTTACTTTTTCTAGCAAGTAGGAATCAGGTAGTCATAAATGAGAGCTGCATGTCCTGATAAGCTTTCTGTCTGCACTGAAATGGAGTAGTAAAAGGTTTGTTAGTGAAAACATGACTTCTTTTTTTATGCTAGGCTTGTATATGCTTCACAAATTTAGCTATCTGAAGGAGAAATCAGGTGAGACTCTGACCATATTTAAGTCCATAGTTAAGATTTTTCTCCAAATACTGTTTTCAACTGTGAGAAAGCCACAAGTTATAAAGTTATGGGCTGTAGTCTGTTTCTCCATGAATACTCTGTGCTCTTATAAAAAAAGAAACTCAGTAAACTCCCGATAATTGTACTTGACAGCAGTGCTGCAGCCTCTTTGGGGGCTGAGTTTATCAGCTTCAGGCATACACCACACAACCAGTAGCTTTCAAGAGTTGTTCTAGTTTTGGTGGAGAAGGATGTAGCTTCTTGGTGCTGGTTACAACTCAGCCATAAGGCAGGTTTGCTGTTAAACACCAGTTCTCTGGTTTGTGAGTGATGGGGAGGTGAACTTGAAACATTTCCTCGTTGGCAGCAACTATGTTGGCATTTCAGATCCGGCTTCTTAACTCAGTGATTTTTAACCATCAAAAGGCTTGTGATCGTCAGAGAAAATGGTGACCACTGTACGGTCAGAAAAAATACTTAGGGTGGTCATGCTGGTTACACAGAACAGGAAACTAGTGATGAATAGAGGAGAAGGAACTGTGGTGTTTAGTCTGAAACAGCTGTGGGGCTCAGCAGGATGAGAGCACAGCTTATCCAGGTCTGTCCAAGATAAAGCAGTATTTTATACTTAACATAGTTTGGCCAGTCAGCCAGGAAACACTGCATAAAATGTGTCATTGGTTCTTAAATGTAGGCAGTGATGAAATCCCTTCACAGAGAATGGATATCACTCACTAATGGATTTTGCTGCCCCAGAGAATAATGACATTTAGTTCATTCATGCTCATGATGTTGTGTCACCGTTAGAAAAATGCTGGAGGAATGACTTTCTTTGTGAAATGTCTGGCATTCGTAGACATTGACTTTAGACAGATGGATGACAGGGTTTGCATTTTGTGTATATGAACTGCTTACTAGCTAGGACCCAGCTTTTCTTTCTCAAGTGATCAAGTTTTCTTGCATCTGACTGAATTTCTTTAAACAAGCAATTGAAGAAGCCTAACATACTGTCAAATAGGCTAGTCTAACTGAGGAAGATGCAAAGAAGTCTTTCCAGCTGTTCTTTGTAATCATTTACTATATGGGGAAAAAGAGAACTGTTTTCTCCTACTGCTTGGTAGAAATTTGGGGATTAGTTGAAATCTAGTGGATAAATCAGCACCATACGTAAAAAGTACAACTTTCAGCCCACTTCTAGAAGGGCGGAAAGCACCTTTACTAGCTATTTTCATAAAGGCACCAGGTTGAATAAAGGGCTTTACAGTGCAGGACAAATAAACCAGTAATATTTACGGGATCTGAAAGGTTGTGCTCATTTTCCAGATGAACTGGTTGTGTTTAAGCAAAAACTATTTTTCATTAATTCTTCCTGTTCTTCTGATTAAAATTATAAAGAAAACAGAATGTAGCCACTGGCATATTAGGCATTTTGATTAAATTTCTCATCTTTGTGCAAAGACGAATCATGTGTTCGGGGACTCCAGATCAGTAAAACATCTAGTCTGAGCTTTCTCTTTCTGGGCTGAAGCACAGCAGGATATTCAGGTAGTTCAGCAGGATGGGAAGCTGTGGCTTTTGCTCCTGCATCACTAGAAATGTGTTTTCCCTCTGCAGCAGTCAGTCACCTGTTTTGAGTATCCCACTGTTTACCTGAGCACTGGGCTGACTCCAGGATCCATTCACTGTGATAGCAGCTTACTGAACTGGCAGTGGAATTTTTTCTATTGTCCCAGTGTGGCCAAACAAGCAGATGCAGTGTGAGGGTTGGGGTTTTGGTTTTGGGTGGGTTTTTGGTTTTTTTCTTTTACCAAGCAAGAAAGTCAATGTAGGAAAACTCCAGAGGAAAAAAGGTCGGAATGTTTATGATGATGCCTAAATAAAGCTGAGTGAGGGCTAGCTAAACACAAACTCAAAACCAGATGCAGACATTCATAAGTGTTTGAAAAGTGCCAGTATGAACCATAAGTAGAGATGCTAGAATGTTTAGCAAGCTCTGTATGCCTAGCAGTAATGTGTGAAAACAGAGGATGCGGCAGAAACAGAGAGATTAAAATTAGGACTAGATCATTATCATCTGAAATAAGCCTTTCACAAGGAAAACCACAGGATAGCTCCAAGTTTAGATAAAACATTGCATGGTGTGTACTAGGGACCAGTCAGTAAAGAAATGTTAGATGGATGAGGAAGGGTAGCCATTTGCTAATCCTGGTACCTAGGAGTGAGCGTAACTGTTACAGCATGTGTTACGGTTGGTGTTAAACTGGTCACTTGTTAAACTTCTTTCTGTTTTTATTTCTAGGCCTCTTCCTTATTTTAGGTTTGATAATTTACCCTGCAGGTTGGGGATGCCAGAAAGCAATAAGCTATTGTGGACCTTATGCTTCTGCTTACAAACTAGGAGACTGCTCCGTGGGCTGGGCTTTCTACACAGCTATTGGTGGCACTATTCTGACGTTCATCTGTGCAGTCTTCTCGGCGCAAGCTGAAATAGCCACGTCCAGTGACAAAGTGCAAGAAGAAATAGAAGAAGGAAAAAACCTTATCTGCCTCCTTTAAGTCCAGTGGGGAAAAGATACCAGTGCCTGGATCTTCATCTGCTTTCCATTGACTGGTCAAGCAGATCCACTTACTTTTTTCTGCCATTTGTGTGATTGAGCCCCATGCATTCCAGCCCCGAACTACTGAAATGGTCTTTCTCCCTTGCTCAGCAATGAGGAGCAGAGAAAGAATCCCAAGAAAGCAGAATGTAAATATTTGGGGATTTTTTTAGTTTCACTCTATGATCAGGACACAGTGGAATATAGTAGTCTGACTGGGAGGTGAGGAATCATGTATATAGCAGGAATGTTGCTGTTATAACTGACAAATTCTGATTGATCGGATTGCCTTACCCACCTTGTTCACTTTGAGGAATTTGGATTTAAAATAATAAAAGCCAGCACATTTTTTTCTTATACAGAAAAGCCTATTTTAATTAGGCTTTGTTTCCAAGGGCTCCCCTCACCTGTGAATATTTCACCACCACCTTGTTTGGTACCATCCTTTTCACTGAGGTGCTTTTGATATTAAACTCACTTACAGTGCCTTCTCAGACAGGAAAGTCTGAGAACAGGAAAGTTCTGTACAGGAAAGTACAGTGCCTTCTCAGAGAGGAAAGCTGATGTGACACAGGTTACAATGACCTTTAAACATTTATAAAGTTGAGTGCCTGCCAGGTTTATTTGTCTTACAACTTACAGTGCAAAGTGTGTGCCTCTTGTTACGTAGCAGGTACATGATTGTGTTTCTATTAGCTAGACAGAGAAGCTGCTGTTATACTGGCTTTCACCTTACTCTGATAAAATTATTTGAAGTAACCATTGTTACTGCAACCTTTGCTAATAAACTCCTGACATCCCAAGCAGATGACAACTCCCGAGAGCATATCTGAGCATTGTCTTATGAATGCCAACATCCTGGCCTGGGCTGTAGCCTCTCCTACAAATGCGGATCACATGCTGGACTTCAACAGTATTATTCTTTCTCTTGCCAGCGAGAACTCATTCCTAGTTTACAGATCAGTGTCTCATGACTCAGACCCATATGAGTCCTCAAGAAATATACATTTTTTTCAGGAAGTCTTGCCAAATTCTACATGCCTGGAAGATCTTTTCCTGTTGTTTTTTTTGTTTGTTTTTTTTAACCTGCTTGTAGTATGGACCCTTTTCCAACTCAGTCAGGAGAAATAAAAGAGACCTTGCCACAAATTACATTCCTTTATCAAAGACAGGTGGTTGTATTACTTACGGTGTTGCACCACTTACCTTTTAAATTTGTTTTCAGTAGTTCTGGTATCTTAAAAAAAACAAAGGAATGGTGTAACTGTGCAATAGGAGCATTGGGGATAATTCAGCTGAGTAGTAGTTCTAATTAAATAATTCGTGAATTTTAGACTCCTTTTCTTACTTCTTGGTATTCTAACATCATGCAATGACGGCATTGCTTTCTGTCACTTCACTGTATAATATGGAGCCAGAGATTCTTGTTCATGCCTGGTCAGGCCCTTACAGTCTGCTGTTAGTTATTTGTAGGTATTAAGAAATCATTGTTAGTGTACAGGTAGGTAGCTGATTTCAATACAAGAGCTGTTTCGCAGTCATGAACACAGGCCCAGGGCTGGGCTCAGGTAGGGGTGTACAGCAGGAGTCATGGTGATAGAGCACCCCTTCAGTGACTGTGTGCAGCACAGGTTTGGCCTAGCCAATCTATGGAGCAACCCAGGCCCAGCACTGGACCTGCATGTTTCCTTGCCCAGAATACCTTCAAGCCACACGCTGGGTGGGTGCAGGAGTCATCTCTGAATCAGTGCACAACACAGTCAACTTCTGATGATATTAAAAAGGGATTGTTTTAATTTAGTTGTTTCTTGCATTCACCTACTCCTGCAACCCACATCTTTCTACTTTAAAATGGTTAATTATGTTTTAAGTATGTAATTTAATAAAACAAAAGTTACGGTCTGGAACCTTTTTTGTCAAGTGCCTGCACAAAGCAAGATTGTAACAAACCAACATTGCTAGCACAGAGTGGTTTGCAAGGACAGAACTCACAGCCAGCACATCCTGTCCACACGTTTCTTGGGCACACAAACACAGACATTTATGATCTGAACAGGCACTTGGGTGTCCCTTTCTCCACACAGCTGCACTCCTGATGCACCTCCTGATCCTGCTGCTGGGGCATGTGCCAGGCCATGCGCTCAGCAGTGATCCTCTGGGTTCTGCACATGGGGTCAAGGAAGTATGAGGGTAGCACAAAACTCAGCTACAACCTGATTGTGAGAGAGATCTTCAGTTTTAGCTTTCCTTAGGTGGGTAGCAATCCAGTGGCCATGTCACCACAAATCTTGACACTATATAAGGGTGACAGATGCTGCTCTGGCTTAAACACTTGTTCAGTTAGAATAAGGTCAGTTCTTCCAAAAGGTTTGGAGGGCATATACTGCTTTGGCTTAGAAGTAAACAGTGACCAACCTTCATTTACATTACTAGCTGACCTCTGCTGTGAGCTACAGAATGCTTGAAGATGTTTATAGTGCAGTTTTTAAGCACAAAAGTGGTATTTTTCAGTGGCTGTTTTGCTTTTGTTTGCATTTGTAACAAAGAAGAACCAGCTTTTCTCCTTGTTGCTGGTGTACTATCAACTTGCTCTGCAATAACATAATCAACTAACTTGCAATATCCACGTTCATCATGTAGCACAGATAGAAGACAGGCTGGGAAGAAATACAGAAAACAACCAATTAAAATTTCTTTTCTCAGGGTTCTGTTTTTCTAGCAAGTGTTAAGATGGTCTGTATTGCAAATCCCTTTTTCCTGGATGAGGTTTTCAGGTGCAGGGTGCACTCATTAGCTTTGACAGCTGTTTAAAGTTGTTCCTGAAGTTCACCTCAGCAGCAGCTTTCAAATATATATATATATATAAAACAAAAAAAAAGGAACAAAAAAAAAAAAACCCAACCCAGATATCAGCTTAAAGCTAATTTAATTAATTCCATGAGAGGGCTGCAGAGTGTAACTGCTTCTTAATGTACAAGCACTGCATAGGAGCTAGAAGAATTTGCTGTGGATTCTTTAAAACCTGTGTGCCAATTAACTTTGTGGTATTGAAGAATTCTTCAGACATCTGTGGTTTGATAGACTTCATAAAATAAACTTGTATTCTCTAAAGTGCCATAGACCTTTTTTTAATTGTAGCATATTTAAATATATATATATATATATATATATATACAAACATGTGTGAGATGTGCAATACCAGGAATGGATTTTGTTGTGTTTGGAGTTTGGTTTTTTCCTTAGTTTTTGCTTTTACACAACATATTTGAAAGGGAGCTCCCATGGAAGAAGTGGCTGAGGTTTTGGTGGTGTGGACAAACTAAAGCATGGCATTAATGCAATAGAATCACTAATTCTGATGATTAATAGTAGTACGAGCAGCTTAAAGATTTACCAAAACTATCTTCTAGATTCATTTAAAATGCTCAGACCTATATACTACAGACAGTTCAGCTGTGAACTATGTCCAGTCCTGGCGTTGAAAAGGCTCAGCAAGGTTTCTTAATGTGCTTTAATCGTAACGTGGCACTGCAGAAAACGTTGCTACTGAGCTATCCTGGGCTGCCTGTATCACCTCTGTATCTGTTTTACTCAATAAAGTTTTCTGGAGTCTGATACTTTTTTCCAGCCAAATCATTTCCTTTTTACACTGTTATCCCACCCCAGAGTATCTCATGTCCTAGTGGTAAACAAAGAGGAGCTCAAGTCTTTCTCAGAAGCAGTGGGCACTGGTGCCCACCTCAAGGAAGGGACAGAGCCCAACAGCAGCAGAGCATGGCAGCAACATGTACAGCACAGCCGCTCTGTACAGACCAGCAGCTGCAGCAGTCCACCACAGTCCACCTGGAGTAGATTTTGAACATGGTTTATTTGTGGTACTATTTAACTGTTCTTGAGTCACCACTATGTACATTTTTTTTTAGCATGAGTGATGTACCTGATGTTTTACTTTTAATCTAAATTTCAATTAAAATGTGAGTTTTCGATCTTTAACAGGAGTCTGACTACCTTAATTCAAACATACTGGACAAACTGAACCACAGCAAGGTAGTTTAATTGTAGCATTAACAGTATGTAAGATCCCAGCTCACTGATATTGTTAGTAGTTCAGATTTCCATCTGATTTTAACAGTTATTACCACTTACTGATCAAAAGTATGTGATCTGAAATTGTAGCTATGTGTAATACAATGCATTAAAGAGACTTTCTAATTGATTGTATGCCTGACCAATGTTTTTCATTTTGCAACTAAAGCACTGCAGTTCCTGTCTCATGAAACGGGGTAGCAAAGGTTGTAAACCAAATACTGCTTAATTACACAGACATTTTAAATGCTGTTTGCCACATTGTTTCTTGCCTTTCACCTGTGGCTTGACAAACACTCCACGGAGGTCACATACTGGTCTCTAAGCAAAAACAGAGCTGTCAGCATCTCTTAGAAGTTCATGTCACTTGTGTGTCACAGTTGCTACAGTCCCTTTCTATTAAATTTATATATAGTTTATTCCCACTTCTAACAGTTTCTAAACTTCCAAGAATTAGCTCTTGGTTAAAACTTGGAACATTTAGAAATGTGCAGTCAAGAAGAAGGTAGAGGACAGGTGCCACCCAGTGCACTACTACATTAGCAATCTAATGCACCACCACACTAGTCGCAGGTAGCAGGTTGTTACCCAGCATACATTAGCCCTGTTCCAAACATGCTGCCAATTACCAACATAAGCCCCAACTCCATTAGCAAAAATCAGTCTCTGAAATTTCCCATCTCACTAGCTGAAAAGCTTCCCTTCCCAAATTGCAGGCACAAGAAGTAAAACCTGGTCTTTTCAACACTTTGTACAGTAGCTCCCCTGTGCTGAAGTGTTCTCCTTTGCCTCCAAGTAATGAACAGCAATGCACAGGCACACTCACTGAAGCAGGACTGTACAGACTTTCATAGACATGCCTACACACATTACACAATCACTTCGCAGCACCAACTGTGAGCACTTGTTTGCTGTAATCACTATCCATCCAGCAAAAAGCATATTTTAAACACGCTGTATATGCTGCCATTAAACAGCTGGACAATGAATTTATTTTCTTCTAGAACAAAATACAGATCAGAGTGATCTACAAATCGTACTTCCCATCAGTACACTTTTTCCCCCTTCAGGGGATTTATTCTATCATAAGTGAAACTAAAATGCTGCTGCTGAGGTAAGAAACTGGCACCTTTCCAGTTTTTCTGCTGATGAGCACAAAAGCTACTTGTGGACATAAAATAAATTTGGAGGGGGGGGTAAATTTGGAGGACCCCCCCCCCCAACGAATTCTTACACATTAATATAACTGAGTGAAAAATAACACACATTGGTTTTCATTATCGGATTCACTGTGCCTTTACTTCTGATTCATAACCAGAATGCTCCACGTGTGGGCCTTTTTCCTTGAGAAAAATGCCTTTCCAGAAGTATCTCTGAGTGGTATTAATCATAGTTCTCTCACAGTTTAAAATACGCTGGTTTCTTTAGGTATGCATACCTTCCCAACGTGGTGCTTGCAACTTCTTGAGGAAAACTAGCCTCAGCAATCCAGATTATCCCTCTCCACGTCAGCTCTAAAACTGTGTAGTATTTCTAACCATAAAACATGACTGTATCATGCTCCACAATCGTGCTTACTGAGAAAGTACAAAACCTGTTCCCTTAGGCTGCTGCCACTGCTGTCCTACGTCTGTAATTTACAAAGAAACAGACCAATCTGACAAAGAATTTCACTACTGATTTATGCATGTACAAGCGTCTTCAAAACCACACGTCTGCTACCTCCTTGAAATAATCCTCACTGTATTGCAAAGCACTGATCTTTGTATTGTGCATTTCCAAATACAGCTATGCCACAGTGGACTAGCTAAAGTCAGTTTGCCCTTCAAACAAAACCCAGTCATAAATTCAGTACTCGAGGCATGTGTTACAGTTGAAAAGAAATCAACAGACTGTGACAGTGCCTAAGAAAAAAAGAAAAAGCAAGACACAGCAGTGATGCAGGTATGTCAATTCATAGGCAGACATTGGGAAAATAAACAGTACCAAAGCCGTGCTGTTTTCAGCAGCTTCATTTTACTCTGAATAGGGTTTTACTCACTTCAAACCTGTGAGTCCTTGTGAGTTTACAGCAGAAGAAAGTGGCTGCAACTGTTCAAGAATTTCCATCTTAACAGTTGAGTACACTGGTTCTCAATACCCTAATGTATTATTTTGATAATGGACATTTTGCTTTCCCATTTTAGCAGAATTACACCATTTATGCACTGGATTATAAAACCAAATGAGCTTTCATACAGATATTCCACCCTGCATGTTACCCTGACCATTAGAAGAAAACTCCCTACATTGGTCAAAACTATACAGAGCAAACACCCAGGAAAAAACTCCTTTTTTATTCTGTGACACCGTTTTAATACAATAAATATACAAAACTTCTGAGCTACTCAGACATGCAACAGAGGGACAGAAGTGGTGCATTTGTACAGAACCATGACATTCACCAGGATGGCAGAGCATTGTTAGTAATTTACAAAATATACAAACAGCCCTCAGATAAATAAAACCAACTTCTAAATTACAGATGACTACTGATATTCCAGTGTTATAACTTAATACTTTGTACTCAAATTTGCTACAATATTGCAAAATTACAACCTATGTGGGTGCCATACTCTGATAATAAGAGACTGTAAAATCTAGTTTCATCAGGCAGAAAATACTTTAAGAAGTCTCAGCCTTCTGTTGTCAAGGGTAAACTCAAACTTCTTCCCTTTTAGGCTGCCAAGTGTCAGAGATTTCTGGTTTAAACAATTCATGTGTAACTGAACCTTAAGTTTCACTTAGGACATCTAAATGCATACATTCAACCCATGACACTACGAACCGACACTCCATACACAGAGAACATTAAGTAAGTTTTCCCAAAGAGCCGTTAAACATTTGGGGAGAAGTCTACCTGCGAAATTTAATTTTTATTCCTAATGTGGGGTGGTGTGTTTTTTTCTCCAGAATATATTTAGGTAATGTATGTTACTATGCGATCTTCAACTAAGTTAAATTGCAAGAATTACGTCCCTGGAATTACCATCCAAGAGATATGAAGAGAATTGCTTAAATTTAGATTTTAAAGTAATCCATAGTAGAGGTTCTGAGACACAAGGTTCAAGTTAAATTTAAAAGACTATGGAACAAACAATCTTAATATACAGCTGCTAGAAAGATAATGCCTAATCTCAATGGAAAATGGTGACTTTTATCTGGAAAGCTTTTAATAACATTCCACATAAATTGAAGTTCAATGCTAGCACGTCCAGTGATATGAAATTTTAGAGCCCCTATTACACAGAATATTTAAATTGCTTTTAACTTCATGATGCAGAGAACACTTAGAAGCAAGTATATTCATTAATATGAATTTCAGCATGGTGAAACTAGGATATTCATTCAAGTTGGATTTAAAGAAATTAGAAGAAAGGAAACTAATAGGGACGTCATGCTCACAGTACAATACTGATCCATGGATTAAGCTAGGTTTTTTATTTTTGTAATGGTGTTCTGTTATTTTGAATACAGTGCAGTGAAAAAGAATCTGTGTAAGTCCACATTCTGGCAAGGCCTCAGAATTTTATGCCTTCTTACTAAAGGTGGTTTGCCTTCAGAGCTGAATTCATTTCAGCCACAGTGGATACTTACACAAGCTGTGGGATATGGTCCTTCCTGTTTCCATTTTCTAAAACAAAGTTTGAAAAAACAGCCCAAATTTTGTGCATAAGACTCATGAAGCAATGACTACAATAAATAATGTTCAAAGGAGAAAAACATGACATTATACTAAGACCTGGTTATATTCCAGAAGATCATGGCATGTACCATTATGGATTTTCAGTTCCACAGCACCAATTTAACCTTGTCAGCCTCCAGTTCAGTGAGTTGAAATTTAACTTTAAAAGTTTAAAATTTAAAAAAAAATTTAAAGTTTAAAATTTAACTTTGTTGAAGATGAGTATTTTTCACTTTTCCAACAGAAAATACTTTAGAAGTTTTTTTCTCCCAGCTTAAATCACATCATAGAGATGGCTGAGATAACATTAAAATGATTCAAGTATCTGTTAAATGCCATTGCTTAAAAAGCTTCGGTTTAGACACAATTCCTTTTAGAATATTAAATACTGTATAGTTAGGTTTTTGGACAAGCAGTAAGTAAGAATGGCTGGGCTAGATATTTAGTACCACTGTTAAACACAAACACACTTTAACAAAAGCAAAATAAACCGAAAAAATCCCCAATCCAACAAAATCACAACTGCATGTAGAAGAGCGAAAAGGGGCAAGAAACTAGTGTTCTAAAAGTCAATGCTTGTTTATTTCCCACCAAAATTATTATTCCAAGACATTAATATTGAAATTAAAGATAGCAAATATATAATCATTTAGCTCTGTGATTGAAACTATCCATTAACTTCCTTAAACTGTACACTGCATTACACATTCTATTACAGAGAATGTTTCTGCACCACAGTCAGTTCTCACAGGTAGAGAATACTCCATGAAAATACATACAAACAAACGCTATAATTATAAAGTGGTGCAGATAAATTCTGGACCAAAACACTATTTAAACAAGATCAGATAAAACTCAACAGTATTCATGCAAACTTACAGTTTTATATCAAAAGACTTATCCTAAAAGATCCCCAAGAATTTGTAGTATCTATCCTACTTTTATTTGTCCTCCAGCAGCTGCTGAAACTACAAAACCAGTAGGCAAACATCACTTCCTACATCTTTCAGTCTACCTCACTTCTTAACAGTAGAAATAGAGAAAACAGTTCTGACAAAGTAAAATAAATTGATCCAAAGTGCTTTCCTGAAGGTAAAAAAAAAAAAAAAATACTAGAGTGAACCATGAAAAAACCTTCCAAGTTCTTAATAGTTACTTGATAGTTATTCATTTTCAGGCCAACTGTTGAAATTATTTATCCTCCAGAAAATATGGAAGGCTTTATATTCTAGAATATAACACCTTAAAGAAGGGCAAAGAATGGTTATGTTTTTCAAAGAAATAAATTTAGAATAAGATAAACCAAACATTTCCCATTTTATCTATGCACAGCTGCAAAAGAGGCAAACATGCTGTGTGAATTTTGACCTAGGCTTTTAGGGAATATATTAAGTGACTGGAAAATAAAGTACAATCAAAGAGAACTGTGATGACTTCTGTTTCCCTACATCCGGTTACCCTTGAACGCATTCTGAGCTGCACTGGTTGCTGCTGTCGATGCGGCGCTGGCTGCAGCACTCTGTACAGTTTTGTTGGACATCACTCCTGTGGCAAACTCTTGCTGTGCTTTCTCAAAACTGGCACCGGTTGTGCGGTAGAGACCGTGCACCTAGGGAGGTAGAAATGCAGTGAAAAAACAGTGCCCAGCCTTCCACTTCCTGGTAGACTGATAGCAAATTCTTAAACACAAAGCAGACTCATGTGTTCGGGAAAGCTGGTTTGCTCAGGCGTTTGGGAGGATCTGGAAATGAGTAACCTGACCTTTTCCTCACAAACCCTACAACAAACTGCCCCACTGCATGCAGAGTTTGACTGCAAGAATACCTGTAACTTTTTGCAAGTTCAGAGTGGTCTCATAGGCATTTACTAAAATGTGTGTGGTATCTCCTGTTTGAAATAACATATTTAAATATACAAACAAACTGCATCCTTTGCGTAACACAGGGTTCACAGCTGGCAAAACTGTATTCTGTATCAATTTGTATACAACTTGTACTCATTAAAAGCATAAATGTGCACATTAAAAAAACACAAGGAATCAAAACCAGAAAAGTAGTTTTGAACCCACGATGTCGACAACATTTTGGTAATTTTTTAAAAAACATCTTAATTTCTCTGACTGATACAGTGACAAGAACTAGCTAAGCTAGGACTGAATATCAAACTGTATAGAACAGCCTAATAATGCAGACATGTATCTGCTAAGTTACTGTGATGATCAATAGCTCTGCATAATAAGCAGAGGTATTAAACAATGACTTACACTCAGAACAATATGGCATATAACCTTTCATACAACAAAAAAAACAAATCCTGAGTGATTTCCAATTACTTGAGTGTTAAAATTAAAATGCTATTTCTGACTCATACTCAATCAAGTCACAATAAGGCTGTAGAACAAGACTGCAAAGACATTTTCATTCAACTGTAGCATGAAAATTAAAAGTTGTAACTTTTATCTTTGCTATAAATACAACTGTTTCTCATCCATGAAGCTATCACAGGATGCTATATACCAGAAGCTATAACGTCTGAGTATGCAGTTTTTTTAGAAGAATCCACTTGCATATGGTAGGAAGCATGTAAACAAAAAAAAAAAAAAAAGCTCCACCTATGTTTTTCTCACTTGTTTCTTTCTGCTGAACTCGAGTATTTATGCAGAAAATAAGAAGGGACATCTCCAAGCAATACTTAAAATTTCCAGCTTGCTGTAAATAGGCCAAAGAGTTTGGCTATGTGAAAACAGTTACGTGTAACTGTTGCAGAGGTTGAATAATTAGAATTGCCAGAAGATCATCAGCAGAATTCTGTTACATTTTACGTAAACAACATCAAAAACTTACTAGAACTTTAGTATCTAAACTTAAGTCTTCTGAATGCAAATTCTCAAAAAGCAACCAAGGGAAAAAAGCATCTTTGAGCTTTCATTCTATGCAATCATTAATTGGCAACAAATTTTAAAACAATAGAAGCAGAGAAATAATTTTCTGAGGTACCAGGCATCTCCCTCTTCTATTGATTTTAATGGGTATTAATTTGGCCAGAGCTGAAATTTAGCCATCACTGGAGTCACACTTCACTCAGCCTAATGAATTACCACAGATTTGGAAATCACAACTTACCTCTACAGGTACAACTGGAGTGTCCAGTGCATTCATCTACCCCTTCACTGTGGGCCTGCCTCCCACACAAAGGGAGGCTCAGAACTCCCGAGTTTCTCTTACTTAGAGCTACCCTTCCCCATTTTAGTTTGCAGAAAATACATAGTACTGTATTGTACAAACAGTATTTCATAATTACACAACATAAGCAAAAAAATGCAGCTGTTAATAGGTAAGGCACACCCCAAGAATACAATTTCACCCCCATTACTTTGTGACAGAGAATCTCTCAGGACTTGCAGGAAAACAAAATCCAGATCAAACATAGGAAACAGAAGAGGGGAATAATACATAACTTACCTTTTTAAACATAACTAATGAGATAACAGCAGATGCTGTGAAAAGTGCAGCTATGATTATCATCATAATGCCAACAGGAATACTCTTATTCAGACCAGTAAGAGATGAAATCCACCCACTGAAGGAAAAAAGAAAGGACAAACTTTACTAGTACAGCACATGAACCACTCACCCACACGTATCCACATCAAGGGCAGCTTTATAACCTCCTGGTTCTGATCAACTTTGAATATTTGTGAAGAAAAAGTCATGGGGAATTTGCACAATCGCATCTCAGTTCTGTAATATGCTTTTAAGGCTTAGTTTCCATTTTTCCCAGCTACATGAAAAATTATAGTAAAGATACTTATCCTTGAGCAGAGTTACAGAGAAACTAAGAGCCGTTCATCAACTTTTTAGCATTTTTTGTCATACTGTCATTTCACTGATTTAAGACTACAAGATTCTGTGGAAGTGAAAATGTCCCTAAAAAGATAGCTTCTAAGTTCTTTAAACATAAAACAAAAACATGCCACACAGAGCTTCTATGTGGGAAGACTCATTTAATTGTACCCACACAGCGATGCTCTCTCAATTGAGGTTAATATGATAATTTTCTGAAGTAGACAGCAGTGGCTTACTAATAGAAAAGATTCCTCTACTAGTATCTACTTCAAAGATTTCCCCATTCTTCAAAATTGAAACCCCAACAGAAAAAAATACAGTATCAAACTTGAAACCCCAACAAGCAGGCTCTCTTGAGAAAAATAAAACTAATATGGAAAAGATTCTTACACACACACACAAAAAGAAATAAAAAAGACAAATTTCTGTAAACTCAATCTTAAAACTTCCCTCTACCTGTTTGAAACTGCTTTGATATCCCGTATGTCCAACTGGTCTCTACCACAAAACTCCAAATCCAAACTGCAGCTAGCATTTTCTGATGATACGGCTACTTTCCATTGCCTTCCCCAAGTATGCTTAAAAACACACTCCAAATACATGGAGAGCTGGCCCTTTAAAATGCTTTCTTGTTTTTTTAATGTCAATCAATGTATCCATAAAAAACAAAATAGTGGATTTGAGAGCAAAAATAATAAATCAGTATATTTCCTTACAGTACAGTTCTAAAGCAATGCTATTTTTCTGCCCTATGTATGTTTGGAGGTTAGCAGAGAAGTATCACCCTGTGACACTACTGCCAGTCATAGCTTTCCGTGCTACCAGCTGGCTACTACAACCATGCTTTTAGTAAATTCAAGTGTTGTTTCGTTGTTTCCCCCACCCCCCCAAGGACTGTGACCAATTCCCAACAGCTTTTCCTTGTAAGATCTAAATAGCAGACCTTGAAGACTTATACAGAAGATATATATAGATACAGATAGGTAATATATATAAAATCTTCATGTTAAAGCTTATACACTTAGAAGCATCAAGAAGAAAAACCAACTATTTCACAATAAGGAACTGACTCAAACAATGAGCTTTTCAATAACTATCAAAGATATACCACTGCATTCACCCAGGTACACTTTTGTCTCATTCTTCAAATTTTAGCAACAAATTCCCTTAGTAAATAGTAAGTATATTAATGTAACTAGAAATACTTAAAGATACAAAATAATGATATGCAAACAGTATATTGTCTAAATTATTTTAATTTTCTAAGTTTTGCTTATGTTTTTATCTTTAATATAGGGTAGTAGTTATCTCCACACACCACCAAAATAGGGGAAGAAATATATAAATGTATTACATTGAAGGATAAAATTTTGACCAGCCTAATAACAGAAGTACCTCACTCACTTAAAATACTTTTCATCCACTTTTCCTAGTTAAGAAAACTCCAAAAATGCAAACCCCAACCACACAAAAAAACCCACACCAACCCACAGAGACTCTGTGGCAGTTGCTGTATCAAATATGAGTGTCTTACAGGCAATACAATTCAGCAAACAGAATACTCACCAGTTTCCCCATCGTTGAAATCCTGCAGCTTGAAGTACATGTACAGCAAACTGACAGATATATACAAAGAAGAACACAAAGAATCTGAATGAACTGTCACTCCTGAAAGAGGTGGGGGGGGAAAGATTAAACCAGCCAGTAAATTAATGACCTTTTGCAAATATTGTTGTACAACTCTAAAATTTTTTTCTGTATTAACTACAGGAAAAGTGCTTTCATTTATTGGCAGAGACTTAAAGTACAAGTAACTCTGTGGTTTTGCAGAGTGTTTATTTACAAGAGATACTCCTTTAAGATAGTATTTTTGCCATCTGCACCTCTGACAGAGATGAGAATAGCAGCAAGATACTATTCCTTACTTAAGAGTTCTGTTCAGCACACAGGAGAGCCTCTTGTACTAGCTATAGAAATTTTGCTACAGTGCATGAAGAACAGAATTCTTCTCCACTTCTGAACTGAAGTTCACAGTGCTGGCAGGATGAGAAGAAAATATTTTTCTTGTAAAAGGAAATTAAATCTAATATGGAATTACTGCAACATAGGGCAGACCAGAATAACTGATGCAGCTGCTGCTTAAAAGCAAAATATACGAAATAGGTTTGCTGTTAGAATTATCAGAAGTCCAGCCTGACAAAGACTGGAAGTAAACATGTATATATGGGCGTGTGTGTACAGGCAAAATGTCAAAGACTTCAACTTCTTACTATCAAAACCAATTATCGTATGATATGCTTGCTACTAGAATTCTAAGAAATCACTCTGTTAAGTCACAGAATTAGTTTTGCCATTAACAGCTCTTCCTGTTAATTTCTATTTATTCAACCAGTTAATAACTATTTAGATTTTCATCTGAGCAAATGACTGAAGTTGAATATGCAAGTTACTGTTTTCCCAACAATCAATATTCACTAAGAAAAGCTGTGTATTTACTAGAGAGCAAATGCAAGTTAAACTATATGACTCCTCAAAGATGTATGGGTACCTCCCGGGTTAGCAAAAAGAAACATCTCATTTAGTCTCAAGGCCACACTTAACTTCAGTTTCTGGCCATCAACCTTTCTTTATAAGAATAAGTGCATTTTAACTGAGGATATCCTGAATCAGTTCAATGTGGGAAAAAAAATCCAAAAGAAATATAAGAGTATAGGATTTAGAATCTCTACATGCTTATTTCCACCAAAGAAAAAAAAAGGAAAAAAAAAAAGTTTAATTTTGCATGCAAAACCACCATCCTTTTCTTAAACATAAAGCTACAAAACCTCACACTTGTGAAGCCTTGTAACAACTGCTAAAAGCTAGGAAAAAAATTAGTATTAGTAGTATGATTATACCTGCTCTAGTCATTCTTAGGAATCTCAGTCTTCTTCAGTTAGACACTGTAGGTCACTTAATGTAAGATTTTTAAGTGTAAAGTTTTATGAAATTTGCTCAGGAAGCCAAAAATTTATGATCCTCTTAACTATTAACCTACTGAAATTCTAGGTGTGAAGTGGTAAGAGATTTAATGAGAATTTTCCCTAAAACTGTTATCACCCCAATACGAAGTTAAATATTTCCTACAAATATTTTGTCAATGGTAGAAGCTATAAATACTTTAACGGATATTCCCTTATATTCTTAACTATCGCCATCTATGTTTCAAATAGAACAACTGAATTAATGGCAAACACATTACTTGCTTCTAATGAAAGCATATTAAAGTATTATCATAATGATCATCAAGCAAATTCTGGAATGTTAATGCATGCTGACAAGTTTTTAAGTATTCTAAGTCAAGCTAAAGTTGTTACCTGAAAGCTCCATACAGTGGTCTGTACCAGCAGACAAAAGAACAAGGGGTAAAAAGCAAGAACCAGAGAATACTCAATCCAAAATCAACTCCTCGCGTAGAATCAACATAAAACCAGGCCAAACATCCAAAGATATTAAGAAACAGTGTCACTGTATGGACTGTAGAAGCAAAAGCAAATTAATTTTAATTTAGTTATGTTTATACAATAAACTTTTGCAACTGTTAAAGTAATACCTAAACTGAGCATTTTTAAACAAATCATCAGATTTAAACCATAAATCTATCCCCTCTCAATACCCCCATCAATAAGCTGACTTTTATATAGTTTTACAACTTTCAGGTAAACCCTGTATTCACAAGTGAAAGTATTGAACATGAAAATTTAAGTACTGGCAGGTATATGGTGAAGGAAGAAATGATGTCATAAAAATAAAACGTTTTCAGACTCAAAATTAACAGAGCTGCAGCAACTGATACTTTTTCTACAGCAGTAACAGGATACAGATATTTAACAGACTACTGAATATTTTTTGAAAGCTTATAAATCAGATAAAATGCATCATGTATTTACCACTGCATGCATTCTAATTTGAAAATAAGAATTAAAAACCAAAAATCTTTAAATGGAAAGCTCTTTTGTCTTTCATGTAATAAAGCAAAAATAAAACCCCACCCAGCAAGTGCTTCTCAGTAAAAAAAAAAAACAAAACAACCTGCAAGAAGCTGTCATAGATGCTTTCATACATATTGCATATTCAAATATTTATTAATATGGGTACTGTCAGATGTCTTAAATATCTGCCATTTTGGTGCTCCATTCTTAGCTCAATACTAACATCTCATTGGCAGACTTTGTTACAAGTTTACTGAATTTCTACAAAAATAAATGCATTGGCATTACAACTTCACAGCTTACTTCAAATATATCTAGTTCTTAGCTCTGAGAAAGATACAGTAGTATTACGAAACATTACACCTACTACCTTCATGATATCTGACACAGAACTTAGCTCTGCCGAACTTAAAAAACTAACATAAATTTCTGCCTTTGTTCAGCAATAACCAGTGGTTCAGCAGTGATTTTGCCACCTCAGAGGACATTTTCTGTCCTTGTGGACCACGATAAAGTATGAGTATGTGTAACAGAGCACACAAGGTGCTCCTTACAGCAATGATTTTTTTATTTATGTTCAAGGAAACATCTTATTCTACTAGAAGGTAAGGTTAATGGAAGAACTGGAAGATGATAAAAGATTCTGAATAAAAGACTCCTCAAACTCTTTGATGCCCTCTTAACTAGTACTTAAATAAGCCCTAAATCAGCTTAAGCAGGAAAACTCAAAGCAAAATGCCCACACCGTTGCATGAAAGGCTGATGAAACTCAAAACATTTCCCTCAGACAAAATCGTATTTTCCTCTGAGAATCACCGGGAACATAAAACTGTACTTTTAAGGAAAAGGCATTTAATGCATCTACATATCTTAGCACTATTGAACAAGGTCAGCAAAACCACTCATTTCAGAACTTGCGTGTATGCCCCGTAAAGCACAACAAAGGATACAAATCCAAATTCCTGCCTTCCTTTAATAAATATGAGAAAGCTTCCTAAGGGGTATTTTTTCATTTTCTAGTCAATACTGGAAAACAGGGAGACCCCTCAGATTACCAGAAACATCCACACTCTGGTAGAGTTTGAACTTTCCTGTTTTTTTTTTTTGTAATTGCAATTGTGGTAACAGAAGTTTAAAAAAACCAACCATCAATGCAGAAGAGGGTTGAAATGTCACACCTGCTATTGATACCTCTTAGCACAATAAAGCCAGCAACATAGGGGTCTACTTCACTTCTGTCAGAGAGAATCTCAGCTATAAAAAACCAAGTATTAGCAAGCTGCATATGAAGACATGGGACTTCACTGACAATTCTCTCTTCACTCCACTTGCTGATCTCTCTGTCTGCTGCAAAGTACAAAAATGCATTTGTTCTTTGAGCCAGCACCTTCACTAAGTGTCCTAGAAAAGCTCTACTGTTGTATGGACAGGTATTTTTATGTTCAGGATAATGGTTTTAGGTACCTTCCACCTACCTGTATCATTAAATTATGACACAGGTTATTTTAAGACAATGATCACCTGGGGGCTGAAATCACCTAAGGCTTTGGCAGAAGTCTGCAACACATGATATCTATATGACAAAAACTTCACAGCTATACCAACACAGTACTTAGTGTGAAGTGACCTAAGAAATCCTTCTCCTTGTTTAGCTGTTGAAGCAGCTGAGGTTGAAAATGAGAAAAGGGCATTCATTGTGCCAGAGTAAGAGTCAACAATGGCAAATTACATTATTTTAATACATACTGAGATTCAACTCGACTTTTATTCAACTTCCTTGTACAGAACAATTCTACTTAGATATACATCCCCTGTCTTAATTAACTACACTTTATCAAACATTAATCCTTGCAAGTGAGTTGTAGGTAAAGACCATGTATGGTCTTTATATATATATATATATATATGGTCTTTATATATATATATATATACGGTCTTTATATATATATGTAAAGACCATGTATGGTCTTTACGTATATAGATGCTATTCAGCATCTACTTCTTGAGATTATTATTTTGCAGTCCCATTTAGGATTCTGTGAAGACAGATTTCTGTTAATAGGTTTCATTACAATAATGTTTTACTGATCGTATTCCAGGGAAACCAAAGTCCTCACTACAACAAATGACGAAAGAATGCGCTTCTTCCCAGGAATCAGCTGGACTGTTGCTCTGTAATGGACTGCAGTAAGGCAAATGCGATGCCTACAAAATGAAGGGTTTTGAAGCCACAAGGCAACCAGCAAGTGCAGACAAAGCTGGTGAAGTCTGATTACATACAACCTTGGAGCACAGAATGCCTTCAAAGGTAGCTCCTTGTCTGTTGTGCTCTTTTTTGAGTTGGAGTGAGCAAAATACATGCAAACAAACCTTACGAACAACGCAAGTATTTTCCATAAGAAAAAAAATATTCAAAAACATTTGGCTTAGTTCAACCCGTAACAAACACATGCTATCAAAAATATGAAGGTGGTTTTTCTTCTCTACACAGTACATTAGGACTTCAGCTAAAATACTGTACAAGGTCCACATTTCTTGACACTACACACTAAAAGATCCATAATAATATGGAATGAATCTCTAAGACATCAACCAAGCAATCAGATCTCTAGAAAACATAACCTACAAAGAAAGGCTGAGTAAACTATGCTAATTTAGCCAAAAGGAGATGACTAAGGAGGATGCATGCATTCTCCATAACAACAGTGGGCACCACAGGGAAGATCAAACACAGAAAGGAGAATTAAATTATATACTGAGAAACAGCTTTTAACAGTAAAAGACAGCAAGACACTAGAATGGGCTTGGAGGGAAAGTGTCCATCCTTGGAAGTTCTCAAGAACAGGCAGAACAAACGTCAGCACAGATTGATATGTGTGCTATTGATGGTATCCTCAGTCAGAAGGATAGATGAGATGAAAGTGTCCTAAACAGAAAAAAATACCATAAAAGTTGGCACTTTATGGTATTGGTTTTCTACCAGAATCCACAATTTTACGTCACTGGTCTTTGAAAACTTTTAAAAAGTTTTTTTCATAGAAAATCGAAACATTCATAACCTATATAAAGTGACAAACCCAAATACCACAAAGCTTTCATGAGATTAAGCAGCTCTTCAGTTTGTAACTTCAAATAACAAATATTCTTCAAGAACTGGTACCGCTCATTTTATACACACTATCAACCTGCAGGCAAAATAGCTAGAAAACACAAGCTTTCGAGGAAAAAAAAATTGGTGTTAGATACAGGTCAAGAGACACTATTAACAGCACAGGAACACCTAAAAAGTAGCGCTCAGTGCTAAAGAGCCACAAAACCAGCCATTCTCTTTGAAAGCCACTTAAACAGGAAGGGTCACTAAAGATAGAATGGAAAAGCTCCATAGCAGCTGAGAAAATCCATTGCTAATTGATTGCTGCAGTTTACAAATTCAACATGAGATCACTCAGCCAGTAAAATGGAAGGAAAAAAAAAAGTTCTCCCAAGGCAACAAACAACAATGTTGAAGTGCAAAGATAAAACTACATCAAGGAATCAGAAAACTCTGATTTCTGATACAAGTAGAGAAAAGATGGATGAATTCATGGAATACTGACACATAAATTGTCTTCTCATGAGATAAAAGAGCATACGGAACTGAAACAGGCAAAAAAGTTTCTGCAGAGACACAAAGACCAATAATAAAAATACAAAAACTGCTGCTAATATGAAAACACACAGAATACTGAAACAAGAGAGGTTTGCTCCTATGACTGCTAAAGAGGAAAACTAGCCTACTTTACAAAGCGCTGAGCACTCAGTACTAGATTTACACAAATGTGTTTATGTTCACAGAACCCCTAGGCTTCACAAGACTTATGAAGTTCTGGGGAAGGAAACAAAATACAGAACAGAGCAGCAAGCAGAAACAGTCTGGTAGTAAGTGCTTCCACTGAGGAAGCATAGCCACTCTAATGAAAAATGAGGCAAACCAAATAGGTACAATCCTGGAAAAGTTAACTCACAAGGACTGATTTAATAGCCAGCTCTAACACATGGAATCCTGTATTGAGTATTTCTCTAGCCCAAAGATTTTGTCTTTTCCTTCATTATGCCCTTCTCCTTCATTCCTGAGTAATCCCCAAGTCAGACAGCAGTAGAGTTAAAGAAGGAAAAGACCAAGAGGACTCAGTTAAAAAAATCTCAGGCTATCTAGAAGAAATTGTGTCACATTATTAGAAAAGCACAACACCTACATATTTTGAACTATAATGTTGCTGCTTCCTCTATTTATTGCCGTAAGAAGGAGAAAGAAAAACAGTATTAATATTCCAATTCTCACCGCCCAACTTCACCTTGTATGTACATACAGCGCTTTCAGAACTCTCCTGCAAATGACCAGAATTCATAACTATCCTAGAATTCTGGAGTATCTGATCATGTAAATCTTCCATGTCTGTCAAATTTATGAGAGTGACTAGTCATATATTCTACAGTGGATTTAGTTGCTTATTTCAAAATTAATGACCCAGAAATGAATATAGACAGCTGATTATGATGAAGTGGAATTAACTTGATTCGGTACTGACTGCTCATTTATGTGTATCAATTATGTGGTTGTATCACAGTAATAAGATTACCAGATTCCCAGATAAATTTATGGAAATTTAGCTAAATCTGAGGCCTTGAAAAAATACAGAAAAGCTCTTAAACTCATATTCCCTTATCACTATAACAATATATTAAACACAACAAAGCACCTAAATCTTTGTAATTTCCTCAGTCTCAGTGTAATTATTAGGCTCTCATCACAGTGGACAAGGCAAAAGAAACAAATATTGTGGCATTTGTACGTTTGGTTTATGCAGCATTTCTCCAGTCAAAACACAGCACTGAATGAGGACAAAATTAACCCCACAAAGATGATGTAGAGCATTGTACAAAGGGTAGTTTTAACGTGGACTGATTCCTCAGCTGATTTATTTTGCACTATTTTTTTAAATAGACTAAAATGATACTAAGTGTCCAATACAGACTAAAAACTGTATTAAAGGATATGCAACTACGTATATTAAAGCAAAGGGATATTACAATACTTAAAGTCACAAGTCTGTTAACACTGATAGTGAATTATATTTCTTAATATATAAGCTGATTTTAAAAACTTAGAATTGTTAAAATTAGTAGAATTATTTCAAAGCTAATAAATGGTCAAAGCTCATTTTACAGTAACAGAGATACTTAAACTAGAAAACTGCAATATACTGGAACCAAAATGCCTTAGGATAATCTCCTCCTTTTTTTCTGTGGAACTTTCTATGAAATAATTCAATACCTGTAAAATTGAAACTACCAGAAATATTTTATTTCAACATTTGACTTCTGAATTTAAAATAACTTCTCGCTACAAACATTACAAAAGCCAAAGCAGCAGCCATGTATCATCAAGTTTGAATAGGCACTTTCAGTTTTCTGAGAAATAAAAATTAAAAAAAAAAGAAAGAACGAAAATACTTACACATCCACAAATAGTACATAACCTTTACTGTCTTCTGGAATTCTACAGGAATGTCTACAGAAAAGTCCTGGTAGAAACAAGGTCCTACTGGAAAATTCTCAGGAAGAGGAGGCCAGTTATTTTTTCTACCTGCAAAACAGAAAAAAACCCCAGAGCCTTATAATACAGTTTTAATTTTTGTATACTAGAGATACACATTTGAACTTGTTCAAATTGTTTCATGCACGAGTTCACAAGCATTTGGATAACTTGGGCTACCAAAACCCTCCTTGTCTCAGTATACATTTCCCTCCAGTTCCACAATAAACACAATTCTTCGTTGAATACAAAGACTGGGGACTGAAAAGCATTCTTCATTCTCAGAATCTTCGTATTTTTAACACCAGGCTCTTTAGAATCATGGATGTTTAGGCTGGAAAGGGCCTTAAGATCATCTAGTTCCAACCCCCCTGCCATGGACAGGGACACCTCGCACTAAACGACGTCACCCAAGACTCCATCCAACCTGGCCTTGAACACTGCCAGGGATGGAACATTCACAACTTCCTTGGGCAACCCATTCCAGTGCCTCACCACCCTCACAGTAAAGAACTTCTTCCTCATATCTAACCTAAAATTCCCTTATTTATGTTTGAACCCATTACTCCTTGTCCTATCACTACAGTCCACTTCTAACACTTTGAACTAGGTCTCAATATAGCTTACAGTCAAAACTTTATCTAAAAGCCCAAAAGCCTCAAGAAAGGCAGCTATTGAAATAGTCTAACTACTCTTCATTTCAAGAAGATGCCTACAGCATCACTGTATTTATTACAACTGCATACAGTTGTGTGACAGAGTAAGAACACCATAAAGGATGTGGTATCAGACACTTGAATTTCCTGTATGCTGATCTGCTCACAGGCTAGAGTATGCACTCTGCCAAACAGAAGCAGACTCAGAGATTCAACTGAGATAACTGCAACATACCTTTACCCTAGCATTTCAAATTCTGGATGCAAGAAATACATTAATCACCATGTTCAAAAAGCAGAGCTGAACTAGAGACTCACCTAAAGGCTAACCTTTACAAGAAATTCTGACAAGTTTTGCTTGCAACTGCTATCTTCAAACTTATCTTTATTAGCAGTTCATCTGATAAGAACGGAAAACTTGCAAAGCTTACATATGTTTTGTTTCCCCACTCAGACAAGATGAAGCTGGTAGTTCTGCCCAAACAGGTCCAAAGTACTACATATCTGTTAACTTTTCTGCCTCTTCTACTGAAATTTTTACCAGGCTTTTCAGAGCAGGAGACTGGGAGAGGGAGCATACTGAAGGCAATCAAGTAATATTCCCATTTATATTACAAACTACTTTGTGATTTCTTATGCAAAAAATACCTTATAATAACTCAGATATTCATTCCCACAGTATATGGTTCTTTCTGTCAGCAATAACAGTTCAAAGACAGAGTTATGGAAAAATTCAGGTATCTTGTAATAATGCAAGATGTTATTTAAGAATTTTATTTTAAGTGTTTTCCCACTGCTGTGGCACAGGTTTCAAAATTTTCAATTAAGACAGCTTGGTGAGACAGTCTGAGATCAAAAACCAAGAGATTTTTTTCTAAATATGGTCTGGATATTCATATTTGAAGACCGCACCTTGATGAGCAAAAAGCTAGCTCAGTGTTATTTTATTCAACACAGATTACCACCAGAAGGTGTATTAACTTTAATGGCATGTCTACACTACATATGCAGACAACCCCACACAAGCTTTGTGCAAACATAGAAAGGGATTTTCAGGCACGCCCAAATGAGCTAGCTGAATTAGGAAGCAGCACACCTTAACTAGTTCAAATGCAATGGTGTGCAGGACCTGAGCAGAAAGATCAAAGGCTGAGCTGACCTATCAGCCTGAAGATTTTTGCACCGTAGTTAGTTATGCATGACAGTTTCCTAGATGGCAGCCAGTATCTTAAATTGAATGCAAATAGCTAGAGTATTGCAAAAGACCCTGTCCTCCAATCAAGACAACTCTAAAGTGTTTTTCTTCTCAGTCACAATAGATGATTCCTGATTTGCAGCATCTTTTACAGAGTCATTTGGTGAAAAAAAAAAATAGCATCTTCTTTAACACTTTAAAATCCCTCTTTTTTTCTGCTCAGCCTTCCTAAAGAATCCTTTAGATTCTTCATGGACTCTTCAATCATTTTGATGTGAACAACTGCAACCTAATATTACCCATTTTAGAAATGACCTAAGATATCTCTAAGATACAGACGAACAAAACTGTCCCTAAAGCCAGGAAGAGAAAAGCAATCAACCCAGACCATCATTGTAAGTTAGTGAAATTATATGAAAGGCAACAGATGGAGAAGGAAATAAGGAAATAAGAAAAAAAAAAAAAAACAAACAACAAAAAAGAACACAACAAAAATACCCACTGTCTGGGAGAAGAGGTACAGAGATTTAATAGAGATACTGGAAAGAACAAATATGAAGAAAATAAAAATGTCTTAATGAAGGAACAAAATCACTGTGATTCTTTTCCTCAGAAGAAGAATAGCAATTTCCCACTTCCAGATCCTAGCAAATGACTGGCATATATGACTGCTCTCTACAGCTTCCTGAGGAAGTGGAGACAGAGGTGCTGAGCTTTTCTCCCAGGTATCCAGTGACAGGATGCATGGAAATGGTTAAATGCTGCGCTACCGGAGGTTTAGATGGAACATTGAGAAGCGTTTCTTTACTGAGAGGGTGGTCAAACCCTTGAACAGGCTTCCTAGAGAGGTGGTCAATGACCCAAGCCTGCTGGTGTTTAAGCGGCATTTGGACAATGCCCTTAATAACATGCTCTAACTTTTGGTCAGCCTTGAAGTGGTCAGGCAGATGGGCTAGATTATCATTGTAGGCCCCTTCCAACTGAAACACTCTACTTACAAAATTCACAAGACTTTGAATTACTAAGCAATTATGTTATCTGGAATTGAACCAATGCATATTTTAAAAAACACCAGCACATGTGGAAACAAAACAGTCAGTATTCTAGATACAAGTGAGAAGACCACACAAAGTTGACCTTGCACAGTGTTATGTTTTAGCTTTTTTCCTAACTTTAGACTGAAATTTTTCCTTTTGAAAAGAAATATTCCCACAGATCTACTTTTAGCAAAGTATCTTCAGTTAAGGAGATGTAAATCTTCTCATTTGTGAAACTGCTGTACAAAACCTCATGGTTTTGTGCAGCAGACAATTTGAAGCAAAGTGAGATTACTGATCTTGACTACAGGTTCCAATGTGTCTTGAAAAATAGAAAATTAGTAATATATATTTCTGCTATTTGCATAGACTATTGTCTGTAACACAGCAAGAGATGATAAAAAGAAAATGTTTTAAAACAGGTAAGTTCTCCTACATCTATAAATACTTACAGAAATAAAAGATATTTTCCTTACGAAGTTACTTTTACTACTTCTCTAAATGCTCCATTTCTACTGAATTGCATACTTACATATTAACCTAGAATAAAAATAGCCGATAGCAAGAGAATAACACCTTAAGGCCAAACTTAAAATTTTAACATTGAAAATCTACACAGGACAGGACAGTTTTTCACTGTATGCACTGTCTCAAGGGAGATAAACTTTCTTTTCCTGAAAAGATTATAAACCCTCCTCTTCGACCTGTTTCAAAATGTCACTGTAATACTAAAACAGTTTCTAAGAAAATGCTAAGTATCTGCAATTTAAAGAAGTATTTTTTTCATGCATACCCCCCTGCTGATTGAGACTCTGCATTTCCCTTTCTCTGCGATCTAATTCAGCTGCTTTTCTTTCCAGTTCTTCTTGACGCTTTAGCAGTTCTGCCTGGGCCAAGGCATGCTCCTGAACAAACCAAGCATAGTTAGATATCAATTAAAAATACAAAATAAAAATTCCAAGTCTGTTTTCTATAATTAAGCATCTCCAGCTATGGATGAAAAGTGGCCTAATATTGCACAAATTTATGCATTAACTGATTACTTAAAGGCAGTATTAATTTTCATAAATCATTGGGAATACCTTATTCCAGAAATAAATACATTATTTCACAAGTGTATTTAAATACTTATAATGAAATGGAACCTAGTGCCTGAAGTTGCAGACAAACCTTTGCAATTTGTGTGTAAGCAGGTGGTTCTTCTGTTGGTTTCATTATTGCTGGCTGGGTACTGGGTACATTAGGCATTTTCACATTTCCTGGAGGAGGCTAAGAAAACAAGAGACAATTATAAGGAGAGAGTTTCCAACTCTAATAAACATCTTTTCATTAACTCTGTAAGAACCAATATAACTGTTTTAAAGGAAGCATTACTGACAAACTGAAAATCCGGTGTGCTGCCTGCAATATTATAATCTTCATGAAAAAGAAGATAACTGTATTCTCTGGTGCAGTGTTCTACTTACTTGGTTTTACACTGCAAGACTTGCTATAAACACACACGGAACCTTATGGATCAGCAGATAGCAAACAGAATTTTGACTTTGTTCAGATGTGAATATGAAAGGGCAGTTATTGTTTAAGAGAATTGCAGGATTTAACAGTGATTTATTCATACTCTGAAACATTATGCCGTTTATTAGTAATGTCTTCCAGAGCTTTCTACTAGTGTCTTCCAGGGCCGCCTACTTAACAAAGCCATATATCACCTAGCTAACTAGAGAAACAAGGTACCATATTAAATGTTCCAATTCAAGATCCATAATCTACTGCTCAACTACTCTGCCAGCATGTACCCCTGTATTCAGTTTCAAGTACCAGTGGCAATTCATTCACTTGGTTACCACCTATAAGAATACAGCTCACAAGTAGTCCTCTCTTTTTTTTTTTTTTTTTCCCTTTTTTAAATTCTCCCCTTATTCCCATCCCTTACGGTCATCATCTCTGACTTTGCCCACATCTGTCATACGCAACGCTGACCAGAAGCTACTAGGGAAAAAATATTACCTGGATTGCAGTTATCAACTGAACTTTACCAAAGCAGATCTGTACAGCACTACTATGATGTTATTTTATTCTTAAACACATTTGGGGAAACTACAATTCTTTCTCCGTGTAGAACCTGCAACATGCAAGACTTTCCCACTCTCTGATTTTTTAAGGCAGAGACATTTGTTCCCAGTAAGACTGAAATAAAAAACAAAAATACAGTGAGAAATGTTTTCAACACTAAAACACTTTAAAACAAAGCAGGAGTAACTAAATATCACTTGGAAAATTATGACTTGGTGCAGGTTGTCTGCACATTTTCTAATCATCTTTTGAAATGCATGAATGCAGCACACTGAGGAGAAAACCTGTGTTTGAGTAAACTCCATCTCTGTGTGATACTGCAGTACATCTCAGCAACATCAGCTGATTCCAGCATTTCAAAATTCTCTTTCCACTTTATCCATCAATTCATAACAGAATACTGATATACCAGAGAGATCTCATTTCTCAAATGCTTGATGATTTAAGTTTTTCATCCTAAGAAAGATTACTTGGTACTATGGAATGAAGACAACTGAAGGTTAAATGCCAAGTCCTGCTCTTGGGTCACAACAACCTCATTGCAACATTACAGGCTTGGGGAAGAGTGGACAGAAAAGGACCTGTGTGTGCTGGTCAACAGCCAGTTGAACATGAGCCAGATTATGCCCAGGTGGCCAAGAATGCTAATAGCATCCTGGTCTGTATCAGCAGTAGCGTGGCCAGCAGGGCCAGTGCAGCAGTCATCCCCCTGTACTCAGCACAGTGAAACTGCACCTCAAATCCTGTGTTCAGTTCTGGGACCCTCAGAACAAGACAGATATTGAGGAGCTTGTGAAGGGCCTGAAGCACAAGTCTGATGAGGAACAGCTGAGGGAAAATGGGGTGGCTTAGCATGGAGAAAAGGAGGCTCAGAAGGGACCTTATCACACTCTACAACTACCTCAGAGGAAGCTGCATGGGGTGGGGGTCAGTCTCTTTTCTTAAGTGACAGGGCCAGAGGAGTTACGCCAGGGGAAGTTTTGATTGTTGTTAGGAAAAATTTCTTCACAAAATGGGTGGTCAAGCACTCAAACAGGCTGCCCAGGGAAGAAGTTGAGTCATCACCCCTGAGGTATTTAAAAGACCTATAGATGTTGGTGCTTAGGAACATGATTTAGAAGTGGACCTGACACTGATATGTTAACCGTTAACTGGACTTCATAATTCTTAAGGTCTTTTCAACCTAAATGATTCTATGATTCTCTGAAGCTGGTTAAAGACAGTTAATTAATTCCTTATGTTGGAGTATACTGTGGTAAAGGCCTGTACAAGAACTCCTACAAAAACTTTACAACCATTTTCTACTTCAAAGTAAGACAGAAAACCTGAACCACAATAACAGAAAGCTACTGAATAAAAACTAATGCATTATGCATTGTAGGCCACAGCAATGCTAAAAGAAAGCCAAAAAGATAAGAAAAAAAAGGTAACAATAGCTTTGAAAGCATAACTAATAAGCAGCTGCCTGCCAGACTAATAACCAGGACTGTTCATATTTTCCCACAAGTACTACAGCACCCCTCCATAATACTGTAAAAAAAGTAATAGCAATACTACCTGTAATAGTGTAAAAAGGTGGATTATCAGACTAGAAAATATCTGAACAATGAATTCAAAGTATATTTGAAAGCTGCTTTTACTGAACAGCCTACAGTGCTGCTAATGACTGATACATGTATATATGCATATGAATAAAGAAAACAATCAGAAAGGTCACAAGCTACAGAAACGAAGATGTCAACCAACAGCACACATGACATTAATATAAGGTACTAGTTATGTACAAGATTCTTCTGATTCAAATTTCTACATTATGTTCCATAATATGCTAATATGATCATCTATATGGTTAAGACTTGCTGTTGGTTGTGCACATAATGATAGTTGTGTAAAAGACCTGCTGCCTACACAGAAGCCTGTGCCACTGGAAGAATTTGTAGCAGTCTGTGAATTCTGGAATCCCAAGAAAGAGGGGCTGGGGAACAAAACCTGTTAAGGAATATTACAAAGCCTACCACTTCTGGGATGCTCTGAGACCTGGGGACTCCTCCCTTCTGACTGCTGGAGCCCAGTCCAGCTCTCCTGAGACTCTTTGAAGGCTATCCATTTCAGGTTGCTGAAGACAGCTATGGCTTTCCTGCCTCCAGGTTCAGCTAGTAGCATGTTTAGTGTGTATCCCAGGGATGCATACAAATACACACACACCTGCACACACAAGGGCACTAGAATGGCCAGCTACACAAGCTGCCACAGACAAGGCATTGCCTTTAACAACACCCCAACATAAAACTATCAGATTTACACAGAACAGAGATACACGGAGTCATACCCCACTGCTCCTTTCCAGTGAGTGTGAGAGCTGTCAGTTTTCCTTCCTCTGTTATGAAGTCAGCTGAGATATGTTCCAGTTCATGCTTTAATAATTTTCCATCTTTCTTTTCTTAACACTCAGCTGACTACCTATTTCCATCAAGAAGCCAGGTGTGGATGATCAATCTGGTTTCTTATAAACACTTCACTGTGTTTGGATGCAAGACAGAAAGAGAGGAGCTACCCAGGAATCTAATAGGAAGAAAAAAAAAACCTACCCAAAAACATTTAAATGTCTCTTAAAACCACCTCAACTCTACTAATATTTTTTTTCCAAATTTTTAATGCAGCAATTTGAAAATGACTGCTGTACGCATTATTGTGTCTATTCATGTTACACATATATACACAGTGCTCGAAGGAGTTCAACACACATTAGCAAAACTTGAAGAACCAGGGAGAAAGTAAAAGCCTTCTTTAAATGTATTTTCATTACATGATGAAGCAGAAATACTAATTGCTAATCTCATCTGCTCCTTCTTAATTTCAGAAACATGAAAAAAGACACAAAGTAATCTCCATGACGACTGTTAGAGCTGGAGACAAAACCACTGAAGATGCAGGCAGTGATATTTTATCTGACATTTATACCAAGAATATTCCTCATTTCTCTTCTTAGATGTCAAGGTCGTAATGCCTGACACCTATTATCTCCTACACCAGTTCACTTTCCCCATTACATCTCGCATGTTATATTCCTATCAAATTTCCCAGTGCTGATGTGAAGGATATAATTTGACTGATAAAAGGTGAATATACTGAAATATTTTCTCAGTACTAGAATAAGGGATACTGAGAAAAAGTAGAATTCATTTCCCCCCCATCCTATCTAACCAAGAACTGGTAGGAAGAATCTCCCTTGGCAAAAGTAAAACACAACTAAGCTAAAATAACAAATGTCAGTGTTTAGAGTTTGAAGTCACTTTCTCAAAGAAGAAATATTTTTGCAGTCCAGCATGCTTTAGTAACTTGAATTTGAAAGGAAGGCAGAAAAAAGGTTATTGCTGCATTAATGCTATAGAATGAAATGTACCATCTTACCACTACCACTACAAATTTGGATTTCCAATTGAAGCATACCATTCTCAGCTTCCTTAAGAACTACAACTATACATTATTACTTGTAGTGAAACAAATATAATTTGAAGTCTTACAGACCAGTAATTCTCAAACTAAAGAGCATAAAAGTCTTCAGGACATATTTTGCTACCACCAGCTTGCATGCTTTCTGCTCACTCACACCACTGTGGTTTCCAAACATTTGAAGTGGGATTACCTGCACAAAATTGTTCAAGATGACTCAGCTTCCCAACAAATGTGGAAAAAGGAACAGCAGCAAATCAAAGCCCCCAGAAACTATCTGGATGCTTTTGCTCTGAGCAAGACACAAAATGCAGAGTAATTTCTATCCCGACACTGACAGACACTGCAATCCTCTAAGTCTAAAATTCACAGCCCATGTTTCTAGCTCTGTTTATCCAGCCCTTAAAGGCATTCACTTCCACTGTCTCTTCCCTTAGTCCTGTCACATACATTTATTTCTACATGCATAGTATGACCTTCTCTTGTACCCAAAGCTGCTAGGAAAAGAGAGCAGATTACATGGAATTGTAAGCATATCCTCAGGTACCTCAGGCACATTGCTGCAGATACATATAACTACGGAATAAATACTCAGATATTCAGCATCCACAAGAAACAGAGGAAGAGGAGTACATCATCTAACGGTTAGATGATTACTTCACTCTTAGCTGAACATATACTTTACTCTTTCATTCTTGTCTTCTGCAGGAAAACCTGTGGAAGCTCTTTTCCTCTACAGAAAACTCATTCAGTAGACAGTTTTTATTAATTTAGTAATGTCTCATAGATTATTAATTGAATCACAGTCCATGAATACAGCCCATATACAGTAGATCTGAACACCGACTTAAAAGACTTTCCCCATCTTCCCAATTTTTCTATACAAGTGACATCTGTAATGAGCAATTAGAACGTTTTATACATGCACAGCTGACTGTTCAAAGCCAGTACTCAATTTTCCTCTTTCAACAGAGCTGCATGTTAAAATAAGTGCACAAGTAATTAAAAAAATGTCAGAGTAGCTCTAGATTGTTGTTTTGTACAAGACCTACCGTCTTTCTAACTTAGGTCAATACAAAGCATTTTTTAAACTCTTCAAGCTTCAGAAAGATAATTTCTGATATTGTGAGTTCAGAGAAAAAAAAAATGAAGACTTATTTAATATTCTTGCTAGTTGAAAAAACTCTGCCTTGAACAGCTAATCCACAACTCATCAAAACCAAGCTTGTTCCAGTGTAGCATTTTAACACTGTATGAACCCCTAATGTTGCACTGCTGTGACTGTGAACTCTACACCTGCTGCCCCAACCTGACCTTTGTTTCCTGTGATTCAGCTTAAGTGATAACCTCCAGTGGCAGTCTAATGGATGCTTCTGCTTGTGGCAGCTGCATAACTCAAATTGGATTTGGGGGAGAGAGATAACACAGCAGCCAAGGGCTAATTTAAGCAGTGCAACCACCTAACCACAGTGCTGGTTTAGGTCCAGATCAAATTTGGAAGAAACTAACTTCAATAGTTGGTGTGCAAACGTGTATGAATCAATTAGCTCACTCCATAAATAGTGGACAGCCCAGGGCATGTTGAGCCTTCCTGCATGGCAGCTGGCTGCAGGCCAGGATCTCCCTTTGAGCAGAGACACATCTCAAGGTTACTCCTCTGGGTTGAGAGATTCCTTGCTGCAACAGAGTTGCGCTGAGTAATTAACAGCATGCTAAACTTTGAAATTTTAGCTAAGTGATATTAAGGATTGACTGTCCATATATAACCCTTTAAATATAAATCACTGATGACGTCTGGGACTAAGTCTGGATGCATCCGCACCTAAACGCTCCTCTGGAAGAAATACAGAAAGCAAGGGTGTCCCTTCTGAACTCAGGAATCAACAGTTTTGACAGTTGACAGTCTGACAGTTTTGTCTAATCCTGACCTCTATGCAGTAAATAATCACATTTACCTTGCTATTGTATTTTATTGAAGCACTGTCATGTTTACTATCAAACCGTTAAATCACTGTTTTATAAACATACTGCTGCTTCTCTCTTTAGAGTGAAGTGTGCCATGCCATCTGTGACAATTACGAAGTTTCAAATACCAACATTTCCTACCAGCCCTATCAGATTTGCCATGGGAAATAAGCCTACATTTGAAAAAACTGTATTTGAATGTTTATAAATTATACTGAGAGACACAAATCATCCATACACTTGTAAAAGATCTTTACTAATAAAAGTAACCACTGAAAAATGCTGTTACACCCTATTCCCTATGTGCTTCATGCACCCTGCCCCCGACCCCCCTCAACTGTGGATAAAAATAAGCACAAGGTAAACTAAATCCATATAAATAGGAGCCAAAACCCAACTATGTTGCTTGAACATAAATTACTCCTTTTTCTACAGCACAACTGCACATAGCTTGTGGACTGTTATTTAAATGCAATTTTTTTCTCATTCTGAACACCACCTTCTTTCATTGAGTGAAAAGAAAATCAAAAGCAAGACACTGACGAGGTGTTCTACACTCACAAGCTTTAAAGCAAGAAGAATTCAGAAAAGCATAAGGACAGACTATCAGAAGTCTTACTCAACAGGGTAAAAAAAAAATACAGTTCTGTTTTGCCTCCCTTTCTGGGAGCCAGTGTTCCTTAACCGGTCAAAGCTCACTTAAATCAACTTACCCATTTAATCCTCCAAATATTTCATGGGACTACCTATCCTTACACATCTTCCATCACCTCTAGCTAGCCCATCACATGTTTCACAATGTCAGTCCAAAACTCTGAAAACAATACTTCACAAATCTTACCTAAAAGTGTTAACAGTTTGATTAATAAATAAATGTGCTTACTGTTCTCGAATCAGAAAAAGGATTATACTCATCTAGCCCTGGAGGAACGTTTCTTGTCACTTGTGTAACGGAAGGATCCTAGAAGAGAAAACAGTTATGTAAATGTATGCACAGGTATACAAGCAACAAGTCAACACTTGCATCATTATATCATATAAAACTCAGCGTTTGTTTCACCCTAAAAAAAGGTACATTTTCAGTGAAGAAGCGTGTAAACATCCACCTCTTTCTGTGTCTTCAAGATGACATTGGTTTATTTTAAGTTTCTTATAAACCTAGATTAACACCACGTGAAAGAGACTACCTGTGATACATTTGATTTATAAGGAAAAAAGCTCTCAACAGAGAAGGGAAGAAAACCATCCTATGTTTACCACTGGACACCACAACTATACATCCAAAGAGCACAACAGAAGAAAAGAGCTTTCTGTAGCTCTTGGTTTTCCCTGCCCAGAGAAACCTCCAACACCTTCACGCACAGGAAAAGCATTTCAGAAAAATGAAGTTGAGGGAACAGTGTCCCACAGTACCAAAAGCACATACAGTTCAGCTTTTACTGAATTGGTAAAATGAAACTAGTATAATTTTTTCCTCCAGTGAGCTACACAGGCTGTTACGTATAGATGTTCAGTAACACCTGAAACACTCTGCCTTATCAGCAGTGTTTTGGTCACAAATCTGAAACAGAGCCACACGGACTGCTATATAAAAAAAAAAAAACAAACACCATCCTTGCCAGACCCAGTACACTTATTCTAGCCTTTACATATTAATGTGAATTGGTAGTGTACAAAATACTCCAATTTTTTGTTGATGCTTTAGGTGTGGTACCCATTTCACAAATGCTGCCATATCATTCACTCTTCCACACAAAAATGCTCGAGTATAGACACATATGAGATTAGTGATAGCTAACCATGAGCCACTTAGTGGAACAACATGCCTACATTACTGAAACTCAAATCGCACTCAAATAGCAACTACTTGAAATTAAATTAGCTCCTTTAAAAGTACATTTCGACAATAAACTTCTGTTTGTAGAGTGATGTACTAACCAAATAACTCATCTCAACTGTGTCCATGAAGGACTATAAATGCAATTATTTGAATAACCAGAATATCACACCCACGGGACAGCCACTGAACAGTAGCAGATTTCCAAAAAGCAGGAAAGAGTGGTTAAGTCAAATTCAGAAGCACAATCTATATTTAGAAATACAGTATGAAAACAACAATAAATACCTCATGAAAGAAAGCCTTTTTTCTCTTAAATGTTTTAGAGAAGAGCAAGAGGAAGGGGCAGAAGGGGAGGGAAAGTTTCTCAGATCTCGTCACACAGCTACTGTAGTATTCTGACACTGACAAATAACAGGAAACATACGCTGAGCCAAACAAGCTGACTACATCAAAAGTCTTAGTACTAGAAATAAGTTGTATGCTTAAATACATACAGCGAGTAGAGTGAGAAGCCCTCGACCAGAAGTCCATGAGTTAAAATTACTATACTTCTGCCAAATATTGCTAGTTTGCCAAAGCTCTGAGAAAAAAAACCCAAAATGAAATGACTCGAGTATATTCAACACCACCTCTATTTAAGAAAAAATTCATTACCTAAAAAGCTTCAAACACTAAAATACACAAACTGAACCCCACCATGGCAAGTAGCATTCAAATTCTGCTCTAAGAAAACCTCAGTTGTACAGCCTGCACTTAATACAAGTTCATGGCCTGATCTCTTCCACATTCAGAGAGACTCATGGAAAAGTAAAACAGAGATCACAAGAAAAGAAGTGTAATCTCATAGCTAAAGGAGGCAAGTATTAGTCTGGAGATAAGTATCTCTCTTAGTGTGATCTTCTCTAATGCTAGAACTATCCTCAGCATAGCAAGAAACAAGATCTTCATAGTCTGGGTACGCAGGAGTAGGCTGCTAGACTTCAAACTGTACTGAATACCTATAGAGCATTTAACAACTGACACCAACAGGAGCTGCACTTCGCGTTTCAAAACTCCGTAATTTCTGAAGAGATTAGACCTGACATCTCAAAGAATACAAAGAATTACTTTGAATCATTTACCTTACACTGACTGTATCTCATTTTAAAAATAGGGCAAATCCCAACTAACCTAAATACAGTGAGGCAAAACTGTGCAGCACTCACTCACTGCTGAGTAATAAACCATTGAATTTACAGTTAATCAGGGTTTGAGTAATGAACACACACAATAAGCGTTGTGCAAGACCACATACCCAGAGAAAAAGTGGCATTTAAATGAATGCTATCAAATTTTTATGTTGCACGACCAGGTATATTCTAGTGAGTGAAACCTTTAATATTCTACAAGAATAATTAAATCTAGGCTGGCATAACTTATTTCTCCATATTTGATATTCCACTCAGATAATAAAATTAAAATGCATTATTTTTTAGTTTGGGGATGCGGGGGGGGGGTTAATATTAAGCAGCGGGGGGGGGCCCCCCCCCAAGACAAGCCACTAAGACAAGTTCTAATAGGTGATAATATACAGACACTAACACAAAGCAGCAGCACAGCTGGAACCGTCATATACCCAGAGACGTCAACTTAATGCATGATTTACGTGATTAAAAATCAGGTTATCCCCTGCAAATATTGAAGATTGGGAATTTCCAGAACATGCTTTAAATACTCTATAGTCAGACACTGAATGTAGCAACTGCAAAATGTCCAGTCCCCACTTCAGGCTGAGGAAAGCTATCTTCTGATGGACCAATACTTCTGCCTAAATTGGAGCTGCCCTTGCACTAACTCCTTGCCACAACCTGATTTTCCTCAGCCACGTGGCCAGTTCCAGTCCTTGCTATTTTTGAGTGCTGATCCCTGTAATTCCCATCTTGTCTAGCTCCTTGTTCTCTCCCTCCAATTCACACATCCTTCTTCAGCTTTACCGTAGCCAAACTCCTGCCACTTCAGCCCCCTGAGTTTCTTATCTTTTTATTTAATAGTATTGGTGATAGCAACCTCAGAACAGAATTTAAAAACAGGCCATTATTCATGCCCAGCTACTGTAGCTATTGATATATTTTAGGAACACACATTCACTTCAGATGACATTTTCAAGATCTGAATTAGTTCAGGAGACTGGAGTTTTAAGAAACCAGCAAAACTTAATTAACTGATTACCTTCTAAATTATCATGTTAACTGTTTCTTGTATTCTCTCTCCTGTAATGTCAATCTGAAAAGCAAAGATTAGCATCACACTCAGAATCACTAGGAGTCAGGTTCAAGAAGCACCCCAGTATTAACATCAAGAATAGAAAAAAGTCAGTTGGAAAAGAAAAAAAAGCAAACAAACCACAAACACCAAAATCACACACAAACAAGACAAAACCAGAAAACACATTTTATCTCACATTGCCAAGAACATCTACAGAACTATTAAAAATGCCTCCTGTGTCAAGTTAACAAATTATGCTCACATCACTCTGATATAGATAAAATTAACTGAATACCCAGTCATCATCACAGAGGGTGCTCAAACACAATTAATTACAAGTGAGAATGTTTAAAATGGAGCAGAAGAATCCGTTCTATGCAAGTTTTTACAGCTTTTTGAAAAACAAAGGGAACACGGATGTCTGTTGTCTAGGAGACCAAAACTAGTCATAAACTACCGGGTTTCATTAATACACAAGAGATTAGCAAATTAAAGACTGAAGAAGTAGATACAACCATAGCAATGCTTTTTATTACTGTTCACCATCATAGGTCCAGCATTGTTCCACCAGGACTGAGATGCTTTGATAGAATACAGAACCCAGTAATATTCTTTAAAACACCTTCGCTACATTTACATTGTTAGTTCTGACTGATATAAACAAAGTAGTGAGCTAGGACTCGCCCCCTCCAAACTGTTGTCCAAGTTGCTGAAAATTTTTCGCTTCTGAGATACCCCCTTTCTTCTATCAAAAAGGCAAAAGCATTTATCATTTGCACAAATAACATGTAATGAAAGACAGAAAAAAAAAAAGGCAAAAAATATAACAATTATAATATGTGCTTGTGTTTTTTCCCTAAGTGGAACTAGGTGACATCAGTGCTCTGCACAGAACATTTAATTTACTTCAGTATTTCTCAGTTTGCTCCCAATGACTAGTAGGGAAATAAAAGCAAGATCTTATTGCAGAGGTCAAGAAACAGAGTTCATAAACACTCTAAACACTGATTTGTATAGAGATTATAATGGTTTTACAAGACATTAGCAACTGAAAACAAGAATTTCAAATAAATATCACATAACCTAAGTAGAACAAAACCAACCTGTTGGAAAAAGGAACAGAGGAAAATTCATAAGATACTGTTACAATAAAAAGAAGATGGAAAACAAAGGTAACTGTAAGGAAATAGGATAATAAGATAAATTTTTAACACTGATTGATAGAGCAACTAAGAAAAACAACTAAGTATCTTCTAAGACTTAGGTACCTGAAGCATCGCACATTAAAAAAAAATACAACAATCTTGTTGTTTGGAAAAAGCATAAAATTGAAATGCTGCACTTAGAAGTGTGGTGGTTTTTTTCGGGTTTTGGTTTGGTGTGTTTTTTTTTTTTTTAAGATTTCCATGGAATTTACAGAACAGCACCAAAAATCTGAGTAAACTGACAGGTACACCTGACCTAAGTCCTAAGAAAGACTAAGGAGAAACAATATACTATGAATGCAAAAAAGGATTTAAAAAATAAGAGGATTAATCATTTGTAGTGAATGAAATCAGAAAAATAAAGCATGGAAATACTGCATTGATTATGTAGCTCTATAAGATTAATCTACTAAAGATGACTGTAGAAAACTTTTGCTTTTTACCCTACTTCTGTATTAAGTTCTATGTTAAGAACTCTTGATGAGTGGAGTACTTGAAATCCAAACTCAGAAAATAGTTCTCATCACAAAGCATCTTAGCAGATCAAGTCTCTTTATATTGTCAATTCACTGTGCCAATCCTACCACCTCCCTCATCAGTCACTGGCTTACCCCCCCCTTCAGCTCTGCCACCATACAATCCTTTTTTATTTCAAGATCCCCACAAGTTTATCTGACCTAAGTGCTTTACCAGTCACCGACATCAGTCAGCCTTCACTTTGCAAATATCTTCAGCATTTACTGTTCCATAAACACCTAGCTAGGCATTTTGTGCTTGGAGGGAACTTCCCAGAAAGCAAGAGAAGCACAACTCCAACCTTATCCTCCTAACTTCCTTAAAATAACTCTGACTGTATACAGAATAGAAGCAGAAGCCAGGGGTCTACCAGGAGTGAATCCAGACTGGTATATGCACCCTGGGGAAGTCAGGAGATTATATCTATATCTAGCAAAGTCAATCTTAACCAACTAGGATTTCTTATCCCTACCGCTCCCACTAAAAGGCTTTGTTTTCTTTTATGAAAAGGATAAACTTTTCATCTCAAGTTAAGCTCTCTACTGATTAGCACAACTTATTCCCAATACCCACTTCATGTTAGCCTTTTCTATATATAACACTAAATGTACACTTTTTCAGTAAGAATTCATCCTGAGGCCTGGGGTTGTTTTGTTTGCTTGGTTGGTTTAGTTTGTTATTTGGTTTGGGGTTTTGTTGGTTTGGTTTGTTATTTGGTCTTGGGTTTTTTTTAATGGTAAGAGTTGTACTTCCTACTCACTGTTGAGTACTTCCTAAGATCACACAACTGGCTCAGAAAATTAAGCAAAAATGCACAATACAAAAATGCCCAAAAGTATGTTTGTTGATCCGAGTTTTTTTATTTCTTTATCAAACTATCCACTCCACTTTCCATGGAGAGGAATTAAAGCTATTGCTGTTTCAATTGAAACTCTCCATATAATATGTTTTGCTTTCAGTATGTCCTCATGAGCATTTCTGGGAAGAGATTTCTGACAAAGCCTACCTTTTGCGAACAAAACTGTGAGGGGAAAGAAAAAAGTATTTGGACAGCAATGAGTACCTTTTAAAAAAATAGCTTTTTTTTCCTCCCTGTTAACCGTTAGGTTTCAGTTTTTTAGATCAGGACCTGACACTTCAACAAGACAAAAGCCTGCACATGAAGGATGTTTTTGTCAGTATCATAACGTACTACATCCTACCAGCTTAAACCTCTGAAACTGCAATTTGCACATGTTCAGTAAACACTTAATATAAATCAGCCAAATTCCCCAAAGACTTCCCCTTCTCATGCCACAGAAAGCTGCACATGGAAAAATTAAGTTTCAAGAAACTACTGATGTTTTAATGCAGTGTCAAACCTTGCCACTTCTTCATGCTTTGTTTCTTTCTTCATCACCCCATGCTCAAGAACAAGTCAAGGTACAGACACTTCACAAAAGCAAGTAAACTGAGATTTCATGTTTCACTATCCTAATAGTACGCTAGCAGTATAAACAGTTTACATTTAACAGTATGAAGGAAACTTTATAATACATTCTAAACTACTGCTAAAAAACACTACTACAAAAATAAAAAAATTGTCCTCAAAGCTTATACATATGGGAATTAGTAACTCATAGGCAAAATAAAGCTATTTAGTACTTCTAATAATAATAATAAAAAAATCTGAGTAACCACTATAATAGTTCTTTCACAATTTCAAGTTTAACATCTTATTCACTGATCAGCCATTTCCCACTCCCCACATAGAATGATGCTCAAAAAATTTTCACTTTAGCACTGACCAAACAGAATTGTTAAATTCTGTTAAACAGTATAAAAGTAGCCAGCTGGGCTTTCTTACACTTGGCTGTCAAGCAGTGCCTGTTATACACCACAGTATCTCACAGTAGCAGAGCTAAACAGGTTCTACGCCACGGAGCAAGATAATTCAATTCTCCGCCTCTGAAACCAAGAACTTCAGAGGCTCACAAGGCCAAATCTGTCCTAAACCTTTTAAAGCCTACAACCACACAAACCCAGAACTCCCTACAAATATAGTCGTGTTTTTCATTATGTTATTTCCCCTCGAGAGATACTTCATGCAGTAGTCCTTGGACCAGTTCAGACCAGGCCAGATGTAAAAAATGTACACTGCAGCCTCTGGCAGAAAGCTCCAGGGGAGACTCGAGCTTGACGCCTCAGCTTTTGGAGTCAGGGATACAGAGGATCTGAGGCCAGCTATAGCCCAACTGAAAAAGAGATACTGGTAGCCTATGAAGTGGTTTGAGCTGCACAGCTCCTCCTGGCACCCCAGCTGCCTGTGCTGGGCTAGATGTTCAAAGGCACGGTCTCCTCTACACATGATGCAACCGATGCTACATGGAGTAAGTGGGCTGCACTAATTACACAACAAGCTTGAACAGGAAATCCCAGTCGTCCAGGAATTCTAGAAGTCATCATGGACTGGCCAGAGGGCAAAGATTTTGGAATGTTACCAGAGGAGGAGGTGATCCATGCTGAAGGGGCCCCACCATATAATAAACCATCAGAAAGTGAAAAGCAATATGCCTTGTTTACTGATGGGTCCTGTCGTATACTGGGAAAGCATCGGAGATGGAAAGCAGCTGTATGGAGTCCCCAGTGACAAGTCGCAGAAACTGTTAAAGAAGAAGGTGAATCAAGTCAGTTTGATGCACAGCTGCACCAGTTTCTAAGAAGGAGAAAAATGACTGCTACTGCTGCACCCAGGACAACCAACAAGTGGATAAAGCTGCTAAGACTGAAGTGGCTCAGATGGACTTAGATTGGCAACACAAGGGTGAATTATTTCTGGCCCAGTGGGCCCACGACACTTCAGGCCATCAGGGCAGAGATGCAACATATAGATGGGCCAGTGATCGAGGGGTGGACTTAACAATGGACACTATTGCCCAGGTTATTCCTGAGTGTGAAACATGTGCTGCAATTAAGCAAGCCAAATGGTTAAAGCCTCTTTGGTATGGAGGACGATGGCTAAAGTACAAAAATGGGGAGGGCCTGGCAGATTGATTATATCACACTCCCACCAACCCACCATGGCAAGCATCATGTGCTTACCATGGTGGCAGCAGCCACTGGATGACTGGAAACATACGGTGTGCCCCACACCACTGCCCTGGGCCTTGAGAAACAGATCTTGTGTTGACACGGCACCCCAGAGAGAACTGAATCAGACAATGGGACTCACTTCCAGAATAACCTTATAGACACTTGGGCCAAAGAGTATGGCACTGAGTGGGTATATCACATCTCCTACCATGCACCAGCCTCTGGGAAAATCAAACAGTACAATAGATTGTTGAAAACTACACTGAGAGCAATGGGTGGTGGGACTTTCAAACACTGGGATACACATTTACCAAAAGCCAACAATAAAACACGCCAGGCAGAGGTGACTCTTGGCAATGCTGCTGCTGATGCCCACGAAGCCAAGGCTAAAGCAGATGATGCTGAGAAAATCACCGGCACTGTTTAGAATAATGCTGTGGCTACTGAAGCCAAAGCTGACAGAATTTTTGCTGATGTGACAGGGCTGACCAGGGAAGTGGATAAGATGATGAAGCAACAACAGAATGCAGAAAAAGAGCTGAAGCGGAAGCAGGATGATGCTGAGCAGGGTATGATGATGGCCGGGATGGCCTCACAGGCTGCCCAGGAGGCAGAAGACAAAGAAAGGAAAGCAAAGAACTCTGTAAACAGTTTGCTTTCTGTCATTAATGACCTGCTGGACCAGTTAGGGCAACTGGAGATGGTGGACTTGAACAAACTGAATGAAATTGAGGGTACCCTGAACAGTGCCAAAGACTAGATGAAAGATAGTGACCTGGAGAGAGAGAAGCCAGGAAGCAAGATGATGCAATACAGGTTTACAACAGGGACACTGAAGAGATCCTGAAGGACATTAGCAACCTGGAAGACATCAAGACTTTGCCATCTGGCTGTTTTAACACCCCATCCACTGAAAAACCCTGAGGGTGCACTGGGGGTGGGAGATATTTCCCTGGTGAGTGGTGGAGCAGTGGTTTGGCTATGGAGTGCCTTAACACACATGCCCTCTTCCTTCCCCAGATCCAGCTCTCCAACTACCTCAACACTGGGAAGATAGTTGGAGAGAAGTCAGGGCTAGTCAGCCCCACCCTGCAATGGAGAGCTGGACATCTAAAAACATATAATCTCCATCTCATAGCTATTCTCAAATATTTCTCCTTCCTCTGCTCTGAAACACATGTTGTGCTCCTCTTTGTAACGCTGAATCTCAGCATACAGTGCAATAACACTACTAATGGCTGTATGTGCTAACACTTAACAAAAATCTGGAAATAAAATGCAACTACGACTGATACTGAGTATCTATTAAAACACCTTAGTTTTAATAGATTACAGTGCAGGTTACAGCACTGATGAAGTGTACTCTTGAAGCTAACTACTATGTAGCCCAGCTAAAGGGCACTTCCAGTACTGTGATGTGCGTCATTAAATTATGCAAGATTTAGAGAAATTTATAAATTTTGAAGACATGAAGGGAAACCAGGTAATAAAGTCAGAAAAATATTTTATGTCCTTGGCTATTTTAAAGCCAGACAACTTAACTGGGTATATTTAATAATCATATAAAAGAACAAAAACTCAGTTACACACATAGGCACACTACCAAACTTTTGAATGTTACGGTACAAATACTGCAGAAACACTTGATTCTTCAAAAATAATTAACACTTCTCTTTCTTCCTGTAAGTTTCTATCATTTTAACTTCGCTTGAGGAAGCAACGTGTTCTGTTAACTGTATAGATTCTGCTGCCAAACAAGCTAGCAGTCATCTGAATCATTAGCTTCAGCATAAAACCTCCAGCCTGCACTTCCTGCCAAACCAGCTAGATTAATTTGTGCTCACGTGAGTCAGATTAAGCATAATATTCAATTTATAACTGGAACTCATATAATTAACGTTACATACATCTGAGGTTTTCATGATTGTGTCCTTCCACATTAAAACTGAATTAAGGCATAGACCACTCTGTTTAAATCTTCATGCATATCATGGAGAGGTTCGGCTTTTACCTGAAGGTCACCATTCACATTTAAACAAAAATATATATGTGTTCAGTCCTATCATTAATTTCTACAGTATCAAATACCTGCACCTGCTCAGAGCTCTGAAGACATGAGATGAAGCAACCCAACAGAATTCATAACAGAACTCAGTTTCTACAGTCACTTAAAAGTAACTGTTTCATATGTTTGAATGACTAACCAGTGCTCAAACCTTTTACAGTCTGTCAGCCAAGCCACAAAGGCCTGTGAAATTCATAGATCTACTTAAAACAATAAATAATTTCTTCTCTTAGTAGTAGTATCATTCACTTATACTAAAAAATAATTAAAAAAATAACAACCAAAATCAACATATTTTTATTGTAGAAGAATTGTTGAATTGTTTCAGATTATATGAAACTTACACTGGATTTCAAGAGACTGCCGTTTCAGAACCTTTGTATCACCACCCAAGATTACAACTATTCCCGATCTTATGACATTTAAAAAAGAAAGAAGAAAAAAGCACAAGGAGACAGCTACATTAGAAATTTGCCTTTGTCATACAAAATCTATTTCTGCCGGGTTAGTCTATTAAAAAAATAACCTGTCACTACCTTGAGGACGCCCAAACTGCTCCAAGCTGGTCAGACTCACCTCATCGCTAAGGACTTGTGCAGTCTTTATGGGACTGTTGGCTGACCTGGTTACTTTCACTGGGCCTCATCCTGACCCTGAGCTGACTTTCAAGCTTGAGCTAAGATCTGATTCCTCTCTGTGGACTTGTCTAGTACTCTAGACTCTTGGATGCAGTTACCATCACCCTATCTGCTCTGTTCACCCTGTGTGGGTGCTGTAGAACTGTTTCTCAGTAATGACTTGACCAAGTGTGAATTTATACTCACAAGCTATGACAACTGCTTCTCAGTGAAAGAAATTAAATATCTTTCATTATTAGTCTGCTTTCATCTATGATACTTGAGGTCACACCAAATGGGTATTTTTTCACAATGCTGCTACATCACATTATAGCAGGATTATCGCATCTTCATTTGTACGGTACATGGATGCATTTTCTTCTGCACAACGTTAATATGATCAAAGCTTTTTAATGTTATGTTACTTATCTTTGTTTCATTACCTCTTGTCCTTCAAACCAAACCATCTCTTGGTTTTGTTGGTACAGCATGTGAAGGACACCTATTTACAGAGGAATACTATGACTTCAAAAGCATTATTGGCCTTTGGGTTCAGTTCAAGTTTTGGTTTTTCTTAAGAGTTAAGTAGGCACCATCTCAAAATCAACAGTATTATACAATCAAGCTAAGTAAGCTAATAATTGAAACAAGAAGTTCTATTTTACAAATTTCATTACTTCTAGTAGAACCAAAACAGAAACATAATTTAATTTTAGGTTTCCAAAACAATTAACTACCCAAAATGCCAAGCGAACTATAAGTTTCCACTTTACCTTTATCTTCCCAGGGAACATTATTTATTTGATTCAACATCAAGCAAGAATCTCAGCTGAAATCCTTTCATTAAAATGCATGAGAATAGTTACAGGTAATCTCACAAGCAGATCACAGACAACTAGTAAAACCAAAATTTTTAAGAAGGCTCTATCTATAGACCCTTGCAACAGCTCTTCCATGTGACATGTTCAGTCTCCCTCTTCTCTGCCATACTACTTTGTGATTCTACATTAGCACACAAAGTGGCTTCAAAAGTAAGGAAAACAACTAATCATACCTAACATAAAATTATCAAGCAAAGACAAATAAAAATATGAGTACATTGAAATGAGGTGTTCAGTCAACACAACTTAGGTTGTCAGGGTCCATCTGGAAATACTGGTTCTGTGTATAAGGTATGTTAAAACACGTAGTCAGACAAAACTTAAATGCAGACATGCATTCATACTAATTTCAAAGCTGAAAGGAGATGACAGTCAAGGTTTGGCTCATATGAGGCCTCTGCCCCTTCAAGTTAAATGTGTGGACGACTAAAGGTATGCAAGATCACTTTTTGTGGGCAATGAATGTGACAGAACTTAGCAAAGACTGAATGAAATGAAAAAAAGCCTCTGAAAAAGGAAAACTGTACAACATTCCTAAAACAACTTTTGCAAATAAAAGAAATCCAGAAGTGTGTCTGACAGTGAGCTTGAAGTTACAGGCAAGTTCTTGCAGACTCCTTTCATCATGACACATTCTAGATGAGTAGAGCGTGGATTCTGCCCAACAAAAGTCTTTCCCCAAAGAGAAACTGCAATAAACTGTTTCACTTTAAGCTGTGTCTTCAAACTGGAAGTATGGTTAATGTAGGTCCACAGCTTAGGTCTTACAAACACTACACAGGACAGGATACCTGAGCCGATGAGTGATTCAGAAGCAACTATACTTCTTCCAATACCCCTAACCACTCTGTGCATCTATACACAATACATTTTGCTAGATGTTATTTTTGTAACAATTACAAAAAGTGAGGAAAAGCATCACGTGTTTTTGTTGCTGAAGACAAATTCTAGAACAATGACACATTTTTCAGTGCTTGGTGCCAAAAGGTATTTAAAAGAACAGTTGGCAGCAACCTCAATGCCAGGGCTGCTGTTCATCCAGAAGGTCACTGCACTGTGTACAATACTGTGCAAAAACAGAGAGTTGAGCTTAAGGAATACAATCGACTGAATTTTATGACCATAAAAACTAAACTAATGATTCAGACAATGCTCCAATTAATAAATATCAGTAACGTTATGCTTCCAGCAGCTAACTGCACAGAGGTATCCTTGAAATGTGACAACTCAATTTTTAAAAAGCATAATTATTCTAGCTGACATCCTAAACTCGCAGCCATACACTAGCAGCACACTTTAAAGTGTCAGCATGAAATAAAATGCGGCAAAAAAAAGCTCATTAAGATTATTAAAGTAAGTAGCTCAATAAATTAACTGAGTTGGCTTCAAATAACAAGGAAAGAAAACATAAAGAAGGGAAGCATCCAAGGAGGTTAGCTCATTTTGACAGCTGAAGCCAGAACAGTCGGTGAAGAAACAATTCTCAGCTGTACAAGTCAATAGAGCAAAACCTAAAAGCTTTAGTGTACATTACAACACAGTATCCTGAGATGCAGGGTGGAACTTAAACCTGGCCATCAGTACCCTGCATGCTTCTGAAATAATGCAGAACCGCAAGTAAGATCCTAGGGGCTTGGAGGATGCTAGAGGGGAAAACCGGGGCAAATTCATTAAGCTTAACTATTTGGGTCTGTCAAAACGGAGAAAAAAAGACCGTATTAGTACCATATACACAAGGTTACCGCCAAAATCAAGAAACCTGTATTTTTTTCCGCCAAAATAACTCGTCTGAAATGCGATTTGTGCTAATCTTACCAACAGCAGGTAACGTGAAAACCTAAACTCCTGAACGGCTGTGCCCGTTTCTAGGGCTTCCGAAGCCGCTTCTATCCTACGAGCCCTCCGCGCCGCCCTGCTCCAAACCCGCGGGGGGCAGCCCCCCTCACCACTGCCGGCCAGCGCCTGCCAGTCCCCCGAGGCCACATTACGACTGCCGCCGGCTCTTCCCCACTTCCCGAAGCGGGAGCCGCCCCCCCCTTCACGCCGCGAAGAAGGGCCGGGGCCTCTCCCTCCCCCATCTCCCGGGCTGCCCGCGGCTACGCGCAGCCCGCTCTCCCCCCGCCGCGACATCCAGGAAGGCTCACGTCGCCTGCAGCCTCACCTTGAAGGGGTTGTTGAGGTCCGGGTCGGCGAAGGGGTTACTGTCGAAGTCCGACATGGTGAGGGGCAGACAGGCGCTGCTATCACTGGGTGGCGGCTCTAGCCCTGCAGCGCCCCCAACACTCGCCGACTCGCAGGCTGCCCCCCGCCACCGCTGTCGCTACAATCCAAGCTCTAGCCCGCCCACCGCTACCGATCAGCCACCGGCGGCTGACCTCCCAAAATGGCCGCCCCGGAAGTGAGGTGCAGGGCGGGACGGCCCTACAGGGGAAGAGAGCTTCCACTCACGGCGCCGAGGGGGCCGGACTAGGGCAGGTCACGGGAAAGCCGGTTCCTCGAGCGGGGCGGAGCGGGGCGGGGCGGAGCGGGGCGGCAGGAGGCTTGGGAGGGGCTATACCCAGGGTGGGTGATGGTTGATGGATTATTGTGGTCGGGGCTGTTGGTCGCTCGTCGCCGCTCCACTTGGGATGATGGGGAATGATGGGGAATGATGGGAGCTGTGTTCTGCCGCCCTGTGTTGTCAGCAGCAGGCGCGGGGGAAGGAGGGCCGGGCGCGCAGCAGGGGGGCAGGCAAGGCCAGGCTAGGCCCGGCCCGGCGAGACCGCTGGCAGGGGAGTGCTGACGTTACCCGCGGCCATGGCGGGGCGGGATGCCTCACCTCAGAGAGCAGCCCGCGGGCGGGCAGTCCCGTGGTGGCGGCTGGGCCGGTGTGCCCTGACTTGGTGACAGTGTCTCGGTGCCATGTGGACGGTAGCCAACGGTAGCTTTTCTCCACCCTTCCCCGACTCAGCCCGTCTCGGATGGACAGTGAAATGATGGCAGAAAGGAAGCCGTCAAACTTGAGGCTTATTTGGTAAAACGCAGACTTAACTCCTGTTCTCTTCTGTTGGCATGATAAATAGCTTGCCAAGCGTATGGCCTAGGGGGGGCTGTAGGTAGGCTTTGAACCGCGGTCACAAATTCCTGCTTCCATGAGTGGACACATCAAAAGGGCTTCTTGGAAGTGTTCTTTCAAATGCTTCCTCAGAAATACACTGCAGTTTGAAGAACCAGGTCCGAATGATGCAAATAAATGAGAGCAGCTGTTTGAAGCACTGAAGAACCTTCAGTTGAAATTTGAAATGCCATCTACTTGATACCAAACAGTCTGTGTCGATGCAACCCATTAAAACCAGTGAATCCTGACTTGCTTTACACGCTTTTTACATAAATAATTGAATTTTGATTTAAATTTAAAAAAAAGGGAAAAAAGGTTTCTTGGGTCAGACAAACATAAATTGCTATCAGTGAAACTGGTCTTTTGACTTTCTGGTATTCAAATATGATATTTTTATTTTTTTTTTTTGCCATGAAATAATCATAGACTAACACACTGTCCAGGGCTTTTTGAAGGCTGGCTCAGCATGTTAGCACTTTCATGTACTTAACTGGTTCTACATACATCAATACTCTCACCCTGACACTGGCAGTCGTTATAATGGTGGTATTCTGTCAACAAGTCAAGAAAAAGTGTATGTGTACACAAGAATTGATTTTGCATAGATCAGTAAAGAAAGCAGTAATTGTTTCAAGGCTTGTTCTAATTTATGCATAAGTTTCTCAATTGTTCCTGAAGAACTGTCAGATATAAGATGGCATGAAAATGGGACAAATCATAGAAGTGTAGCTTCTAAACAACAAAACACTTTAAACTTTTTTGTTTCTATGAAGTATAAACACTTCACACTTCAAAAAACACCAAGGCAGCTGTTTTATGATCAACAAAGGAATGTTACACTATTAGTGACAATAATTCCAATGGCTTACAGTGACAGCAAATCATTTTGTTTTCCATTATTTGCCCATGACTCAATATATCATAGATCAATGGTATGTGTTGATAGTTCAAAAGCTGTGTGCATTGGCCACTGTACTTGCTCCTATTTCAACTGAACAGGAATGAATGAATGCATGCATGAATTAAGGTTTGGCTGAAAAGAGTATCTTTTCCTGTGTGTTGGTCATGCTTCAAAACATGGACATCAGAACGCTTCTTTGATAATAATTTGCACAATTAAAGGGGAATAATCTGTCATCTCACCTGAGTTTCAAGGCAATAATGAAACTGCATTAGGATGTTTTTGGAAAGGATAATAAATATTTTCTACTAAATGATAGCACTTTGGTAGTGCATCTTTGCTTGTTGCTGAAAGTGCTAACTTTGGGAGGTACCAATTGACTGCAAGCTAATAGAAAATGAGAATTTATTATTTCAACTAATTGAGTAGTTTGTGCTATACATAAACAATGTGGGCAATATAAATCATTTGATGCTGAGGGTTGGCATTTTCAGTTATTTTCTCCATCTTTCAAAGGAGTTTTCAAATTCGAAAAGAGCTATGATTAGGCAAGGATGCCCCTCAGCAAGTGCTCTCTACACCGTGTTTTCAAAATAGTAGATTTTTTTTTTTTGTAAGAATTACCTCCTTGCAATCAACTGTTTCTAATTCAGCTACAAGATACAACTCAAAAATACATCAATTGGATTTTTAATATGCTAGTAAATGAATAGAAAAATAAGGTCTAGTATAGAATCGCTGACATTGTTTAGATAAAACTGTATCTCTGAACTAAAAATCCCCCAGCCTCCTGGGAATGGTTTTATTCAGTGGTTTACCAAAATAGTTGCTTTCTTTGCGAACAAAATAACCCTAGATTTAATTAGCCATTTCCTCAGAAAGAAGAGTTTAAACATCAAGAAACAGTACACTTGAACTGCTTGTGTGAGTACTGTACTTGTATGCTGCGTTTAAGAAGTCTTATGTAAAGGACTGACAATATTATTGCTTCAGATTGCGGTTCTCTCAATTTTCTGTCACTTGTAGAATTTGCAATGTTTATGCCAACCACAGATGGTGGTGAGGAGCACTCAGATCAGCTGAGAGAAAAATACGACAGTTTTCTTTCAATCCAAAATGTTCAAATGCTGAGTAGAGAACCAAGTGATCTCTTTTGAACAGCTCTCTCCCAGTGAAGATCACAATTTTACAGGGGATGGACTTCCAAAAAATAAACCAAAGCTGTAACAAGTAAGCCCTAGTAGCATCAAATTAGGTCATATGCAGATACCAATTTTAAAGTTGATGAATGTTGAAGCAGACTACAGCTAGTCTGTTAGGTAAAACCTAACCTGAAGTGTTATTCAGTAACAGCTCTTGGAACAACTTAAAATAGCAAGAGCCTTTTTCTAGGTTTCACAGCAGAGAGATTGACTTGCAAAACATTGAATAGATTTTAACTTAGGGGGAAGAGAAATGTGATATATAGGTATTTCAGTATAATACTTGAAGGTCAAGAGCTGCAATATTCCCCAAAATATTCTGCCTCAAATGAAAAGAAATGAAGCCCAGATTCCCCAAGATAATGCAGTTTTAGTGTGCTGATTGCTGGATCAAAATCTGTTTCCATCATGCAAAGTGTTGAGCTAATATAAACTTGTTTTAGTAGTCTGAAGAGAAGTCTTAAGTCTTTTTCAGGGAGTGAGGCAGCTTTGGCAGTTCTACCAGAAGGTACACTTGCCCCTTTTTCTGAGTAGAACCAGCATAGCCAGATTACAGGAGGCGGTGTGTGACCTTTAGATGAGAACTCTGACTACTTTCTGAAGCTCCACACTTGGGTTTTCGATCATGTTCCAGAACTGTAGGAGGATATTTGGAATTCTTCTCTGTGGATAGCTCACCTCTTTGGCAGTAGGAGAAGGATTCCCATAGCTGAATTGCAGCAGGGAATAGGTAACTGGTGCATAGCCATGTTGTGGTCATTTTGCCAAAGGTTGTCTGGTACTGCCAGTGATCTCATACCCTGCATGCCCATGCTTTACCCAGCTTTCTTGCTGTGACTGACCCTGACCTGTATGCTCTACCGCAGACCCACACTGAAGTAAGGACACGCACATCCAGCCACTGTTCTTTGTGCCCCTCAAGAATCAGAACTGAACTTGAGTTCACAGCAGAGAACCAACATCTCACTTTGCTACTTTGAGTAACAGATTTCTCTAAGAAAATTAGGTCATTCTTGGCTTGAGCAAAGAATCATTTTGCTGACCTAGAATGACATTGCTCAATGTCATGTCATTCAAAATGAAGATTAGATGCAAAAATTAAAAGCTGATCCCAATGGAACCATTAGTTTCTGCTGCTCTTCATATTCCCCTTAGTCCTATTCTGCTCCATCTGTTCTAAAGCTCTACAAAGAGTAGATCATCAGCAAACCATCCTTCCCTGTGCTTCTTTGAACTCTGGACTAGTTGCTGGTCTTTGTCCAAGGAGCAGAGCCCTTCTTGCATAGCAGGGGCTTTTAGGAATGTGCAGGCACAGCATAGCTATCACAAGCAAGGTGTCTTCATTTTTCTCCCAAACTGAACTTATCCACCTGTTTCCCATCCCACAGGCAGCAAAGGTTAGCATAAACACTTTTACAGAGTCCAGCAATCATTAGCACTGGCCAAGACAGCAGGATGTAATCATGTATTCTTCCTGCTGGAAGATGACTTGTGTAACCATCTAGCTGGGGACAGAACAGTAGCAATTTTCCTCCTCTTGTCTAAAGCGTCATGATGCCTGTGAATGAAGTCACTGTCATAAACGCTGCCTTTAAGAGGATGGCTAACCTACTGTGGAAGCCAGTGCGTGGGAGCAATGAATAGTAAGCTACAGTCATGAGGAAAGATGCTGCAAAATGAACACATGCTATTTGGGAGTGGGGAGAGCATTCTAGGCAGCTGTGGAGCGAAGCCAAGTGGCACTTGCAGTCTGTGCTGCTTGCATTTGTTCCTGTACCAACTCAAGAGTCTGAGGAAGAGCAGAATCTAAGGCAGGTGATAAAAGAGCTGGTTTAGGCAATAAGCAGACCTCAGATGCACCTGCCACCTCCTCCCACTGTATTATCACTTGCTGTATTATAACACAGATGCTTGGCTTCTGCAGCCCTTACAGCTCCCCAGCCTCTTCTCATATCTGTACCCCTCAATAAGAGGTACATTGGTTGTTTTCAGTGGGAATAGTTTAGACAATGTCAGGACTTGCCCTGTGATCCCTTCCAGCCAAATAATTCTGGTAAATAACTTTTCAGGGTGTCTCTCATCCTTTCCAATTTAAAAATATATGTGAATAATTGAACATAAATAGTTGTCTGCA